AATAAAAGAAAATCATTTAAAACAAAAAATCCAATTAAATATAATGAAACTGATCAATTAATACAAAAGAGAATAAAAGAAGCTAAGGAGAGAATGTTACATGAGCAGTGCCAAGAACTAGAAGAAATTGAGAAAAATATGACTTTTTTAACATGCATAAAAGAATTAGAGAATTAACAGGAATGAGAAAAACACTTCAAACTGGGCAACTAAGAGATGAAAGGGGTGCACTTATAACAGATACAAACCAAAAATGCAGAGATGGGCACAATATATAGCACAAATTTTTAAAGACAAAGAGAGAACAGAAGCACCAAAAGAATTTAAGGATGATACTGGGCCTGACATTATACGAGAAGAAATTGAATATGCAATGAAACAAGCTAAAGGTGGTAAATCTCCCGGGCCTGATGAAGTTCCTATCGAATTACTTAAAATTGTGAATACTGTATCTATTGATCTTCTTTTGGATCTATTCAATACCATGTATAGAACAGGTATAATACCTAAAGAATGGCTCCAATCAACATTCATACTGCTTCCCAAAAAAGCCAATGCAAAAGAGTGCAATGAACATCGCACCATAGCCTTAACGAGTCATGTCTTGAAATTGTTTTTTAAAAGTAATTCACAGTAGATGTCATGTCATGTCTTGAAATTGTTTTTAAAAGTAATTCACAATAGAATACATAAGAAATTAGATGAAGGCATAAGTAATACACAAATGGGATTTAGGAGAGGACTGGGAACACGAGATGCACTGTTTGCATTAAGTGTTCTTTCGCAGAGATGCTTAGATATTAATCAGGAAGTATATGCCTATTTCATTGATTTTGAGAAGGCATTTGACAAAGTGCAGCATAATCGACTTAAAGAAATTTTATTAAATAAAAACATAGACAGTAGAGACATTAGAATCATCTGTAACCTCCATATTGGAATCAAACAGCAAAAGTGAAAGTTGAAAACGAACTCACCAAGGATATCCAGATTCGCCGTGGGGTCCGCCAAGCTTGTATTTTATCACCCTTGTTATTCAATTTATACAGTGAAGCCATCTCAGAATTAGCGCTTGCTGAGATCAGTGAGGGCCTTATAATAAACGGTGAGCCACTTTATAACATAAGATATGCTGACGATACCGTCCTTCTGGCAGGAACACTAGAAGAACTGCAACACCTTGCTGAACAACTAAATATTTATTGCGACGATTATGGACTAAAAATCAATTTGAAGAAAACCAAGTTCATGGTATTTACAAAAGCACAAAACATCAAAGTTAAGCTAGTACTAGATAATACAGAAATTGAACAAATATCTTCGTACAAATACCTTGGAGCATGGATCACAGAAGATACTGATCAGACAAAAGAAATACGATGCCGCATTGAAATTGCGCGGTCAACTTATAATAGAATGAGAAAACTTTTTTGTAATTGCGATATCAATATATCGCTCCGGATAAGAATGCTTCGATGTTATATTTTCTCTACCCTTTTGTATGGAGTTGAAGCTTGGACACTTAAAAAATCCAACATTAAAAACCTAGAAGCACTCGAAATATGGTGTTACCGACGTATTTTGAAAATATCATGGATGGATCGGAAAACAAACGAACAAGTTCTCGAACAACTAGGAAAACAATACGAAGTTTTAAATTCCATAAAAATCAGGAAATTGGAATACTTGGGGCACATAATGAGAGGTGAAAAGTACGAACTACTAAGGAATATAACGCAGGGTAAAATCAAAGGTAGAAGAAGCGTAGGAAGACGTAAAATCTCGTGGCTACGCAATCTCCGTGAATGGTTTGGATACAGTTCAATTGCAGGCGAGTAACCAATAAAATTATAATTGCCAGAATGATTTCCAATCTCCGATAGGAGTGAAACTTGAAGAGGAAGATATTAATATTTAGTCCGATATCCAAGGAAACGTGATATAATTTTTCAAACATTATTATTACATAATGCACAGGATCAGCTATAAGGACGATGTTATCTGCGATGATTCAGCATCTCTCCATTTATGTTGATATCACGATCGTACAAATGTTACTTCTTACAAATATGTTCTAAAAGCATCGTGCATTAGCTTTGGAGAAACGAAGTCTCATTGCCGTACTCCTTACTGTATACAGAAATTATTTGTTTCTTGTTCACATAGTCCTACTCTAGCTATGGTCTATTCGGCATTCTGTCAATGCTTTTAATATTATCTGATGGCTTACGAATTGAGAATTACATTTCCTTTATTCCAGTAATCTGTAATGCATATTGATCTTAGAAATTTTGTAATTTCGATCGGTCGATTTGCAGACGACATCGATCTGATCGCTAATAATCCTGCAGAACTACAAGAACTTGTAAGCGATCTAAATGTAGCCAGCAAAGAAATTGGCGTAAACGTAAACTTGACAAAAACAAAAACCATGTACAACGAGCTAGTGGATGTCCAATATTTAATAATAAAAAACACTGCACTTGGGACAGTTCCACGTTTTTTTATAGGGTAAGTCCCACAATTGTTTTGTATTTTACAATAATCTTTCTTTTTTGTGCACAACCCAAAAGTTTGTATAGTGATCAAAGGACAGCTTATGGTTCAGCTAAATTGTAGGTACATTTTATTAGAGAGTAAGCAATAATACCGATAATATTATGATATTTTATACTAAAACTAAGGTTATATTATAATATTTTTGTAAATTTTAACTACTTAAATTCATATCTCAGCTTTTCTAAATCTGCTTACATTTTTGATTTTTGCTATTTGCTTTGTTTGTTTTACGTTTACTTTATTAATATGTTGACATTCTATATTAGCGTTTACTTGCCTGACCTAAGAAATAAATAGTTAATTTGTATCAATTATTTGTTTTTACTCACATGAATGTAGAGCCACAATATAAGGTAGATCTGTTTGATTCTCTTTATTTTTTTTTTCTCTTTCTTTTTCTCTTTCTCTTTCTTTTTAAATAAATATACCCATTTACGAAGACTAACCTTGTTTTTTTTTTTTCTTTTTGACTACGTATGCATTTTGGTTTTCTTAGAGAGGTTTTGCATTTTTGTCATTTTTTTGGAATCTTTCTTAACCTGTAACTGCTACCGAGATGGTCAGTGTAACCCAGCAATAGTTTTATTACAACTACCCATATAAATTTAATAGTAGGGAGCTGTCTGTCCACCTATTCCCTGGCCAGTCAATGGTTCGTACAAAGGCAAAGTAAGCAGTTTTGTTGATCTTATAAAACTCGAAATAATTACGTAGTTGGGTCACGATGATCAGTATATTATTTAAATAACAAAATATTTGTGGTTAGAAATGTATGTACCTAATTTTATTATTTATATATATATATATATATATATATATATATATATATATATATATATATATCTATATATATATAATATAAATATATATATATATTATATATATATATATACTTATATATATATATATATATATATATATATATATATATATATATATATATATATATATTGTTGTGATTTGCTTTATGATGTTTTATTATTAATTAACACTAATTTAATTAATCCAATTATTTAATTAATTAATTCACTAATTTACGCAGAGTCATACAATTCAATTACTATTAAAAATTCTCAGGGTGCCTTTTTTTTGTTAATTAATATTTTAATCAGTTTACTTTATATATCTCTTCTAGTGGGTTCAGTATCTCCTAGTTACTCATAATCGGGATAGAACAGGAAACGGAACTAACATTAAAACAACATAAATATGCACACAAATTATTCTTTATTTTCAATAAGCAGTACGATGAATATTAATAAATAACTTTTGTGGGCAATTATCTTTCCCAACAAACTCCTATACTCTTAATTTAATTTTTATTACAAACTATCTATTGATCTGTTTTATAATAATATCGACTAAAAAATAATGACCATATAAAAATATAATTTATTAACAAAAAAAAAATAACTCTTTGAAACTTGGAATCTTAGTTCGTATGCTTATATTTGACTTTATCTTTAGAATATCTTAAAATTTTCTTTCGTTCAAATTATTTGACTGACCTTTATTTTCACACCAATGATGTCTCCTCTCGATCAAACCACAGTTCCTTCCTTGATTGATTACCGGCAGTAGTGACAGTGCCGTAGTAGTGACCAGTGAACAGTGTAGTAGTGTCTGGGGGCTCGGTAGACTGAGACCTCGGAAGCCTTGAGGAAGGCATCAGAGAGGATGCCGAAAGCTCGGCAAAATGAATATCGACGCGGTTCAACCCGGAAGACTGGTGAGTTTGATATTAATTTTAGTAATAATATTAATCTTAGCTCTAGGTTTTATTGTACTAACCGCGGAAACCTTTCCGAACATATATATATATATATATTATATATATATATATATATATATATATATATATATATATATATATATATATAAGTGAAACAGCAGGGTTTAGTTATTTAAAGTTTTAGGTTGTATGACTGTTTAAGTTATTGACATTGACATATTATAAATTGTATGGTACAATTGTCAAATTACTTAATGGCGTTTGTATATTTGTTAAGTTATGTTAGTTATGTTATTATTGTTAATATCTCTTCACATGAATAAGGGTATGATATTACATTATATACACTATATTATTTAATTATATATATATATATATATATATATATATATATATATATATATATATATATATATATATGTATATATATTTATATATATATATATATATATATATATATATATATATATATATATTATTTGTAGTCTCAGCAATTGGTCTGTATGAAATAAAACTCTATTTGTTATTTATATATATATATATATATTATATATATATATATATATATATATATATATATATATATATATATATATATATATATATATATATATATATATATATATTTATATACATATATATAGATTGTATAGAATAATTTAAATAATAATTATAAAAAATAATAAAATAGCTTCCTTCATTTTCCAAGATTTTCCATAGTGTAGAACTGACTGATGTTGAATCAGCTTCATATCCAGGCTCCTCTGGAAGTAAAGAAATCAATTTGCACGTTTTAAAACCAGCACTATCTTCACCAGTAAATCTTAAAGAAAATACTCATCTGCTGAATGTATTAGCTTCTGAAGTAACTTCTGGTGATAATTCGAGTTCTGGATCTAGCAATTTGTGGGAACCATCAGATTCTGAACGTGAACATGGAAAAGCTGATTCCGAAGACCCTTAAAACAAGTTAGATGATCACTTTCATTTGGCGCAAACAACTATAAAAAAAAGGAAGAAAAGCCCAGGGACCAATGCAACGGAAATTTACAAAAGGTCGTTCTGATAAAAAAAAAAGATGAGGAATATATTATTGCTAAAGGTAAGAGCATTTCAGCTCAAGTTTCAATACCTGTGTCCACAAACTTTTAAGCAAAATATGAAAAGACTGCCTCTGTTGATCTAAAGCAAATTTTTAGAGACCACAGAAACTTGTCAACTATGGATAAACATAAACGTTATTTGGCTAGTTTAACAATAGTAAAACCTAAAGAAAGGACACGGCGTAGTAACTCAGTCAAAAATAGGTAATTTACAGTTCTTTATAAGTTGGAGAATATGGATGGTAATATCTGTAAATGTTGCTTTTTGAAAGTATTTGGCGAAACCAGAGGTTTCTTAGATGACGTTGTTAAAAAAAAGAAAGCATCTTCTACTTCTATCTAAGTTTAAGAAACCATCTAATGACACTTGCAAAACCTGTGATTTATTATTTCTGAAGATAAAAAGCTGTGCCTCCGAAGAAGAAAATCAAAGATTAGAAAATGAAAGCCAACAATACCAGAATAATGCTTTCTTTTATAATACAACAAAACAAGGTGACAATAAAGAAAATATGCAGAGCTTATACAAGCTTGTAGTAGTTGCATTTGATTTGCAGAAGTATTTGGCTACACCTAATTTGACATCTAGTGTGGCTTTCTATAAAAGAAAGTTATGGACTTTTAATTTGACGATCTGCAATATCACCACAAAACGGACATCGTGTTATATGTGGCATGGAAGTGAAGCTCAAGGAGGAGCTTCACCTCCATGCTCACCTCCAGGACTTGCCAGAACAGGTAAAAAATTAGTCCTTTATTCTGATACGTGCCCCGGTCAAAACCGAAATAATATATTACCGATTATGTTTTTAAAAGCACTTGAAGAAAACGAAACTCTAGAAGAAATTCATCATAAGTTCCTAGTTCCTGATCATACTTATTTAGAAGGTGATACAAACCATGCTACAATAGAGAGATTTGTGAAAAAAGAAACGCCACAGTTTCAGTTGCACAGGACTGAGTATCAGTAATTAAAATGACGAGCTTTCATTTTGATGTATAATTTATTAAACAAACTGACTTTTTCAGATTTTCCAAACTTCTAACAACGCATTTTATAGAAAGAAATGTTGATAAAGATAAAAAATTTTTTTGTTTGGAACAGCGTATTTTGGCTACATTACAAAAAGGATAGTTATATAGGTTTCAAATACACATTAGATCCCAACTTACCGTTTTGTTTAATGTCCATGCTAAGAAGAGACAGGTCAACTTCCATGTCTAATATTCAGATACTTCCAGCTTATAGTGATCCTGTACCAATAGACTATTTGAAATATAAAGATATTCTCGACTTACTACCCTTTATAGATCCAATCTGTCATGGATTTTACCATTCACCTAAACACACTCAAACCAGTACCACACAATATACAAGCGACAATGATAAAAATCTCGACGCTTAAGTTTTAATTAGGTGCAAGTAAAGCCATATATTTCCACAGCACTGTTTTCCAATACAAATAAATTGACCAATACTAGTTTAAGTTCTTTCCTATTTGACCGTTATCTCCATGAAAATACTTTTTAAATCTCTATATTTTTGATACAAATATGATATGTGCCAATATATCAAAAACAGAAATGTTAAAACATATTTTATTTATTACATCTGTTATAGCACTTAATAAAGTATGTAATAAGATATATTTGGTTTTTTATTTTGTTGCCTTCGATTTAAGAAACCTTCTGGAGTGTTAAAATTGCCTTACTGAAAAACATACATTTTGGAATTAACATATGTCAAGAACAAAAACCGATATTTTCACATTGAACTGATGTTGTCATTCACATGATAACATGCATTAAAAATTGATGAAAATACAAAATATATCTAGGGAAGAAATGCGCAATTTGATCCGGAAAAAAATAGATATGGTTTCACATGTAAATTATCTTGGGTCACAGTGACCCGTCAATAGCAGCTGCGAGATAACTTTTTGTCGGTAGCAGTTACAGGTTAAACCAATTTTCTCATAGGTTAAGCGTCGAGTTTTCCTCGTCCCTCAAAAAAAGACTAGGTGGCGTCCTTTAATTACTTTTTTCTTTCAGTACCACATTCTATATTAAAGAAATATACAAAATACCCAAGTTATTTCCATTATTACGTTTTAATTCCCACTTCTGTCCCTAAATATACTTGATCTTAGGTCTATAGACCCACGTCCCAAAGCTTACTATTGTTGTAGCATTTTCAATTTCATTGATTCTTTTGAGTATATTGAAACCTCCTCGTATAAAAAAATATATTAAAAACTCCTTATATATTTAAAAAAAAATGAAACGATGAATTTTTCCGTGTTGTTAGTTCGTATCTTTCAAAGTACCCAAAAGTGTTTCGTCGCCGAGTGATAAAACCATTTGAGAGTTCAAATCATGAATGTGTTGCTTGTGTGAGTCCATTTCAAATAGGTAAAGAAATAATAAATCAGACTTACTCACAATCAATTTAATTTAACTATCAGACGACCGGTTTCTCTTTCTACAATATGCAAAGCATCTTCAGGTCTCGATACAAAGTTAAACAAATGCTGAAATGATAAAAACCCATATTAGGGTGTTGTCTAATAAAGATAAACAAATTAGATGTTATAAATTACAATAATTATGCCAACATTACCTGTCTGTGGTTTTATTTAAACGATTGAGTTGAATAAAAGGTATAAATATTTTTTAAGAAAGTTATGTCATAAATGTCACCTTCATAAAACAATTACTCAATAAATAACAGACATTTCAAAAATATATCTCTGGAATAAGTATAAATAACTTTTAATAACACAATAATATATTACACCACTTACATTTAACAAACAATTTCACACATATCTCAAATTCATTGGATCAAATCTACCTCCTCAAGAACTTCCCGTTTACTGTCAAACAACTGCAATAATAGTATTGAGTTCTCCATTCAACAATATACAGTAGTTTCAAACATGTTCTACCATCCATCTATTAATAGAGTACCGACATGTAAGTAATTTTATTTTATTTATTTATTTGCTCATTTATTAATTTATTACAATAGAAGAGATTTTATGACAATTTGTGGGCCTTACCTTGTCCTTTTAACTTTCTTAAAAAATATTTATACCTTTTATTCAACTCAATCATTTAAATAAAACCACAGACAGGTAATATTGGCATAATTATTGTAATTTATAACATCTAATTTGTTTATCTTTATTAGACAACACCCTAATATGGGTTTTTTATCATTTCAGCATTTGTTTAACTTTGTATCGAGACCTGAAGATGCTTTGCATATTGTAGAAAGCAAAACCGGTCGTCTGATAGTTAAATTAAATTGATTGTGAGTAAGTCTTATTTAATATTTCTTTACCCATTTGAGAGTTGTTTATTTTACTTCGGCAATTTCTTTTCAAGTTTGTGCGTCGCAAAAAGATATCTACGTTTTTATTTCCGTTGTTTGTTTATATTTAAACTTCAATATATATATATATATATATATATATATATATATATATATATATATATATATATATATATGACTTCAAATTAGAAATGTTCCTCGTTGTTTGTGTTTTTTTTATGAAGACGTTTGTTCGTCTTTTTTTATGAAAAAAATGTGTAGCAGTGTGAAGTTAATGGTTCAGTAAATGTTTGAGTAAGGAATGGAAGAATCGTCGATTCCATCCTCGTTTTGTTTCTCCCTGGTTATCATCCAAGGCTTTTGGCAGTATGGAGATAGATTTGTTCGAGATATGAAGATATGGAGATAGATAGTTGTGTTCATTGCACAGAGAGTAAAGCCCTCAGTTCCAGTTATGGTTTCGGATATTCCAGTGGCGTCTGGTTCCACAAATTCTAGTACATGTTGTTAGTGAAAAATTCAGGTAACATTTTGTGTTCAAGATTTTAAAGTAAAGACAGACAATTTGTTTTGAATTAAATAATTGCTTTCGTTGACATTTAAAATTGTAAATTTTAGGTTCGAGTTGAGCTGTCAATTTGTGTGTTTAGTTTTTTTTTTTTAAATTTAATGTTAACTTGTGACAGCTCGTTTTTTATTATTTTTTTTGACTATTAGTTTGTTTTATTTTTAAACAAGGTTAACCTCCATATAAATTTTTTAAGATTATGTAGTATCTCCAACTCCTGTAGTTTGTAAGCGGATGACACATAAGTTTTGTATTTTGTATTTCTCCATTTTGTAACTGTTTGTGGTGACACATAAATAAAGGTTAAATTTTGTTGTCTTAACATTTTATTTTTTTTTTGAGCTAACCCTTTTTGAGTTTATTTGAAAAAGATATGTTTTTTATGTTTTGGTTTTGTTTTCTAATTATTTCCCTAGTTATAACTAGTGGTTGTAATAGGCACAATTAGGTACCTCAAGTGGCGCCCTATATTAAATTCCTTGAGGTGTTTCTTGTTTATTTTTATTGTGTTTGTTCCAAGAGATTAATGACCCGTTTATTTCATTTTCTTGTAGTTGCCCCATTCTAACCCCTTTATCTCTTACTTATCCACGACCCCAGCTCTCCTACGAAACCCTGAGTGCCGTTCTCACAAGTAGCGTTTATTTTGCTTGCCTTATCTTCACCCCCAATAGTTTCTTCCCCCAATTTTCTTTCCCCTATATTAATGCCCCCTGTGGTAGGCAAAATATTGACGTTACATTGTGTACTTCAAAACACTTAATAGTCGGTTTGTAATGTGAACACACTTGCACCTGGAATTCTACTCTGTCTATTAATCCCTCTTTTTCCATCCAGACAAGTATTATTACAAACCTACAATTATACAACGCTTTCACATCTTAAATTAGCATTTTTGTCCATTGCTCTTTTTTGTCTCTGCCTCACATTCGTTTTGCCATTCGTTTATTATCTAGTTTTGTACATGTATGTGGCTAAGTTAAAAATCTCTCAAAGGAAAAACTACAATACTAGAAACAGACATAATATTAATAACACAAAACTTTTAATAAAATATATTTACAATAATCTTATATAAATAGATATCACTATTTTTCTAAAAAATAACAAAATTGAATAAAAATAAATAGATATCACATTAAAAAAGGAACTCTTCTTTCTTCTGTACTAATGTGTGCTTTAGATCTTTACTTTTGTAGGTTCATATAACTCTAAAAATAAAAAAAAAATACATTTAAAATATTGAAATACAATTTAGTTTGTTGGATGTGTGTTACAGTAGTAAGTAGGCGTATTTTGTGGGACATATTGTGCAGAATATCTCAAGAAAAGCTGTGACTGTCTGTTATTTTTTTCGCGTTTCTGAACTGCCACCATTATAAGCAATTTACAAGCTTACACAAAGCAGAAAGAAGAAATAGTTTACCTTTTGACATATATCCAAAATTACCAACAATATTGAGACATGTCTCCAGTGTTATAAAGCCATAAAACCACCTCTTATTCGTACTCTTTTTCGTCGTTTCTGTTCGCATTGCTCTAGTGTATATCATGTTTTAATTTTAGGTTTATATTCTTAGGCTTTTACTTCTTATTTGTCTTTGTAATTTTAGTGTACTCATAGACAACACGATAAACGAGGTACAGTTAATATTTCGTTTAATACTTTATTTTGGAAATGGTGGACGTTGATATCGATTTTGTAATTAATATATACTAGGAACAAGCTTCAATTAACAAATTACGAAATTGGAAATATTGTTCTATATATAATACTTACAAAAGTAAAATATCATACGAAAATAGCTCAATAACAATATTTATCATCACTGTCACAGAAGTTCACGGTCCCAGAGACCCTAAACATTGCTATAATATAAAAGTAACAGTGTAAAAATGTCTCAGCAATATCTAATATTATAGCCTAACACAGTAGTCCTTTGTTTAATTATTTACTGCAAAATTAGAAAATATTATTTTCTAAAAAATAGCACAACCAAGAAAACCATTGTTGATGGTTTAGGACATTTTTGTAAAATAAATATCTCCTATTAAATTGAAGAGGTAGACGATCTGTAAATGGAGCTATTTGCTAATAGCTAATAGAGTATTTATATTTTCTTAAGTAAATATGTACATTACAGGTACGTTACTAAAAAATCTGTTTTAGTTTTTGTTTTAGTTGTCTTCGGAATAACTTGATAAAGAAGAACAATCTTCATAGTAGTAGTTATTAAAATGCTGCAAAGAAATTATTGTTATGAATAGTTTGTTAATAAATTCTTAGAACATATTATTTTGTTAGTAATAGGACATATTATGTTTTTGTCATATTTGATATGTGTTGACAGATAATTGGGCTTGTTTCGAGGCCTAAGTAACCTGAGTTTGTCATTCACTATTTCTACTCTCATTAGCACACTGTTATACACTGTGATACTGTTATGCCACTTCGATATACCACGGTGGTCTATCAGAACGGGGTTTATGCGTAAAGGGCTATTTATTACATACATAAATAACATACATATCTGATATTTTAAATACCTTTCCGACACCCACAAAAAGTACTTATTTAAATATTTTACAAATATAAAAGCATTTAGTTTTGAAATATAGATCATTTTATCCTAAGAGACCACCCTGGTGTGGTCATATAAATTTTAGAAATATGTACTTCTATATATCGACCATAGAAACTATAGCGACTATGGCTACTTCTAAATACAGAAAAACCTACAACGACAGGGCAACAAAGACAGTACCAGTTATCCGAACCTGAAATACCAGGGCCCACACTAGCTGAAGTAAAGTCCGCAATTTCGTCCCTAAAAAACCATAAAGCCCCAGGCCCAGACGGCATACAGGTGCAACTACTAACGAAGGGGGAGAAAAGCTCCACCTTGAGATATATCATATTATAAGAGAAGTCTGGGAAAGAAGAAATACCAAAACACTGGCAAAAAAGCCATATAGTACCTATCCATAAGAAGGGAGACAAACAAATATGTCGAAACTATATAGGAATATCGTTAATCAATACAACGTACAAAATTATATCCATAATACTATCTCGAAGACTTACTGCATACGCAGAGAAAATAATAGGCGACTATTAAAGCGGATTCAGACCGGGAAGGTCGACCATAGACCAGATATTCGTCCTACGTCAGTTGTTGAAAAAAACTGGGAATTCAACCGCGATGTACAAGAAATCTTCGTGGACTTTAAACAAGCTTACGATTCTGTTAGCAGAGAAGCATTGTTGGAGACCATGGTATAAATGGGAGTACCTGGAAAGCTGGTACGATTAGCACAGGTGAGCACAGAGAACGCTTCCGCATGGATAAGAATTGGCAGCACCACGTCGAAGGATTTCTTCATTGACACCAGGCTTAGACAGGGAGATCCTCTCGCCCCCCTGCTAATTAATTTTGCACTAGAACATGCGGTAAGGAAAGCTCGACCACAACTTACAAACGGATTTTCCACCCAAGGATTAAAAATACTATTGGCATTTGTGGATGACGTGGACACAATTACACAATCCACCAGAGATGCAAAAGAAGTTTTCACAATATTCGAAAACGAAGCCAAGGAAGTTGGTCTGAAGGTCAATGAGGACAAGACCAAGTACATGATGGTTACGAAGAACTCAAGGCCAAGGTTTAGACAAAACGTAACAATTAGTGAATACAACTTTGAAGTAATCAAAGAATTCAATATTGTTCTGAAGCTATTTTCTTGTGGCATTGTAAATTAATTACTATTAAACTGGAAATAAGCCACAATTAAAGATAAAAATACGTTTATTGACGTTTCAATTTTCACTTCGAAAATCGTTCTCAAAATACAAACAGTAAATTAAACAAATTTTGTTTTTTGTTACATAGTGAAAAATTCTTCTAATAATTTAATTTTATCTGACTCATTTATATTGACAATTCAGACATACATTATGCATTTTAAAGTAGAGAATTTTAATGTCATCATGGCATGTGTTTGTCTTTTTAAAGACGAATTACATGCTATGATTTTTTTCTGATGGATATTCTCAAGTTAAAGTTGATTTCATGTAATCGAATGAACTATCTTATAAGTAAAGTCGTCCCAGGAGCGCAACTCAACAATATTGGCAATATCATTTTAAAGTCGTCTACTTTAAAATGCATAATGTATGTCTGAATTGTCAATATAAATGAGTCAGATAAAATTAAATTATTAGAAGAATTTTTCACTACGTAACAAAAAACAAAATTTGTTTAATTTACTGTTTGTATTTTGAGAACGATTTCCGAAGTGGAAATTGAAACGTCAATAAACGTATTTTTATCTTTAATTGTGGCTTATTCCCAGTTTAATAGTAATCAAAGAATTCAAGTACCTTAGAGCGATCAGAACATTTGAAAATAAATATTAAAAGGACGTGGTAGCCAGATAATTGCAGGAAACAGGAATAAGAGTGTATAAGACAATAATTCGTCCCACAATAACCTATGGAAGAGAGACACGGACTCTGAACCAGTGGGGAATGACCCTGGTACTGGAAAGAAAGATACTACGGAATATCTATGGGCCTTGAAGAGAACAGACTTCTTCTTCTACGGTACTACAGCCCAAAATGAGCCTTGGCCTCCTTTATTTTTTGCCTCCACCCTTGTCTGTCTGTGGCTGCTCTTCTCCATACACGGACTCCTAAAAGTGCTTGTGCGTCGCTGCTTACTGTGTCTTCCCAGCGCTTTCTTGGCTTTCCAACTGGTCGCTTTCCCTGCATTCTGGCGTTCAGTGCTCGTTTTGGTAGCCTATCCTCTCCCATTCGTATCACATGTCCGGCCCATTGCAATCTTTGTATTCTAAGTTTGACAGGGGTGTTTCCTTATACAGTTGATAGAGCTCGTTGTTATATCAAATTCTGAAGATTCCGTTTTCCCTCACAGGTCCTAGTATTCTCCTCAGTACTTTTCTTTCGAATGTGTCGAGTTTGTTTTTGGATGTTTCTTTCAGGACCCATGCTTCGCTGCCATAACATGCTATTGGCCGAATTAAAGTTTTATATATTCTCATCTTTGTATTTCGGTGGACACTTTTAGACCGAAATATATGGGAGAGGGCAAAATAAGCTTTGTTTGCCTGCGTTATCCTTTTTCGTATTTTTCCATCCTCTGCTCCATCGGCATATATTTCTACTCCCAGGTATGTAAACTTTCCAACCGTTTCAATGTCATCTTCATGTATAATGTTTTGTGGGATTATATTTCTTCTCGTCTGTACCATTATTTTTGTTTTTTTTTTGTGTTAATTTCCAGACCTAGCCTTTTCGTTTGTGTTTTTAACTCTGCGTATGCTTCCTGTGCTCCTGTTGATGTTCTACTCATAATATTAATATCATCGGCGTAGGCAGCCAGTTGAACCGTTTTATTGGTCAGTAGGTTTTCTCGTCCAGTTTGCATTTGCCTGACCGCATACTCCAGTGCCAGGTTAAACAATGTTGGTGCCAGCCCATCTCCCTGCTTTAGTCCCTGCGAGATTTTGAAAAAGTCTGTCCGGTTGTTTTGTATTCGTACACATGCCTGAGTTTCATCCATTGTGGCTTTAATGAGTCTAATTAGCTTATGTGGTATTGCTAATTCTGCCAATATATAGTATAGTCTGTCCCTTTTGACTGAATCGTATGCCTGTTTGAAGTCTACAAACACGTTGTGAACATCAATGTCGTGTTCCCACGATTTGTTCAAGACCTGCTTGACTGTAAATATTTGATCCATTGTCGATCTTCCCCGTCTGAAGCCCGTCTGATATTCTCCAATAATATTTTCTGCTAGTGGTTGGAGTCGCTGGTTTATAATATACGTGAGGACTTTATACGCTGTACATAGTAGAGAAATTCCACGGTAGTTTTTGCATTGGAGTTTGTCTCCTTTTTTATAGATTGGGCATACTATACTTTTCTTCCATTCGTCGGGTATTTTCTCTTCTTGCCATATTTCTTTGATAAGCGCGTGGATATGACTTGATAGGTGGTTGCCACCTACCTTATACAGTTCTGCTGGAATCTCGTCAACTCCCGGGGCTTTATTGTTTTTCTGGGCCTTAATAGCTTCGAGAACTTCCTCTATGGTTGGAGCTTCTACTTCAACTTCGTTCTCTTCTACATAGTTCGTACCCATTTCATCTTCCATATCTACTTGTGTTCCAAGTAGGGTCTGAAAATAATGCTTCCAGGTTTCTGTGACTTTCTGTTGGTCACTGATTATTTGCCCACTTTCATCTTTGCATAGGCTTGTTTGAGGTTTATATCCACTTTTTATCTTTTTTAGGTATTCGTAAGCTCCTCTAATTTCGTTTTTTTTTGAAATTTTGTTCCATTTCTTCTATTTGTCCATTTTCATAAGCTCTCTTTTTGTTTCTGCATATCTTGTCTGCTTTCCGTCTTGCGACTTCAAATGATGTTCGTCTTTCCCGTGTTCTTCTTGTTATGTACATTTTGTGCGCTTCGTTTCTTTCTTCTATCGCTTGCCTGCACTCGTCATCAAACCATGTTCCTCTTCTCTTCTTTTTCTTGTTTCCCACGGTGGACGCTACTGCTGTCAGCACTGCTGTTTTGATATTATTCCATTTGCTCTCTATGGAGTGCAGTTCTTGTGTCCTTAGCTCATTTGTGACTTCTTGCTCGAACTTCTCTCTACATTCCTGAGTCTTCAGTTTTTCCAGGTCTAGTTTGTTTGTTCTTTGTTGTCTTTCGTTTCTTTCTCTGTTAACTCTGCACCTAAATTTGGTTTGCAGTAAAAGATGGTCTGATCCACAGCATGCTCCTCGTCGTGTTCTCACATCAGAGATACTACTGGCTGCCCTTTTGTCTATCATCACATGGTCAATTTGATTGGTTGTGGTTCCATCTGGTTGAAGAGAACAGACAACAGGAGAATGCAGAAGAAGACACAATGATAAACTCTAGACCGTATATGGAGATGAAAACATAGTACGCTACATTAAAGCAAATAAGATGGGCGGACCACGTGCTAAGATCGAGTGATGAAAGACTCCTGAACGCCACATTCTGGAAAAGGCCCGATGGCGGAAGGTCAGTTGGTCGCCCAAGAAAGAGATGGAAGGAGGCAGTAGCCAGTGATCTAAGCAAAATGGAAATACAGCAATAGGAAATAGCTGCTCAGAACCGACAACAATGGAGGAAAATAGTAAATGCAGCCAAGACTCACATAGAGTTGTAGAGCCAAATGATGATGATGATGATCTATCGACTGTGGATTAAAGTCATGTTCGAACGTTAGTAAATAGGAACAAAAACAGTGGACGGCAGTGTTTGTTGTGTTAATTCCCAGAGTACTCTTTAAGGTTAGTTTATATTAATAAAGGTAGATATATCTTATAATTTATAATCTGGGCAATATAATGTAAAAAATGGGAAATATATGTAATAAGGGAAATACAGCGTCTGCAAGTTGTATATGATGAAGTTCGGATTAACATAAAAATTTATGATTCTGTGTTTGTCTGATGAGAACATAGATATGTTCAGTAATTACAGAGCTGATTCTGAGCAAGAAACGGCAGAGGCTGAACAACAGCAAGTGGAAGACAGGAATGCTACAGAAGGTGACAGGCGATTATTTTACTATGGCAAAGATGAAACCAAATTGCTGAAACATACACCTTCTAGAGTAGTTTGTTTTAGAAACAAAAATATTGTTCAACGTTTATCAGGGATTATTGGTATTGAAAGAACTGCAAGTACTCGATTGAATCATGTGGTACACTATACGAAGCTGTATGCTAAATACATTTCTATTAATTTCGAAGATAAACAAGATGTCAAATGCGAGCATTTCTTGGTTTGCTTTCTTTGGCAGGACTAGATCATGGATCTCGAAAAAATTTAAAAGAATTTTGGGCGAGATATGAATTAGGAAGCAAAATATTTATTGCGACTATGGCAGAGAGGAGATTTAGATTTCTTCTAAGAGTTATTCGCGTCGACGATAAAAATAATAGGGATGAAAGGAAACAAACAGAAAAACTGGCTCATATGAGAAAGATATTTGACACATTTGTTTAGAATTGTAAAAGTTATTATTATGTAGGAGTACATCCCTTTGGATAAAATGCTTTTCGCTTTTCAAGGCAAATGTAATTATTAAAGATACATACCAAACAAGCCCAAAAAATTATAGTATAATAGTGTTTGCCACCGTTGATGCCAGAACCTTTAACACAAATTATATTTAAATATATGCTGGATAACAGCCGTAAAAATTAGGTAATACTACTGCAGCAGTTACACTGAGAATGTGTCAACCGTTATCAAGTTTGGAATAAAATTTAGCGATAGAACACTGGTTTACCTCTTTCCAGCTGTCAAGGAACTTTTATCAAACTATAACTGACTGTTATAGGTACTTTACGAACCAATAAGCCGCAATTGCCAACCCATATAACCAAAGTACAAAATCATTCCGCGCAGTCTTCTGTATTTGCTTTTGGTAAACACTTGATAGTTTCTTTATATGTTCCTCGAAGAAAAAAAAATATCCTCTTGGTGTCTTCATTTCATTGTGACACAGTTGATCCAGTAAGTGGTAAATAGGAGACAATTTTATTTTACAATTCTACAAAGTAGGAGGTTATTTGTGAGAAACTTGGGAATGGAGCTAATAAAAGAACATATAAGTTCCAGAGCCTTGACCTCAGGATATATTCAGTCTGCAGAGGTCCCTCAGGGATCTGTCTTGGGCCCGACGCTATGGAACCTGGCATATGACGGGCTTATAAACTGTAAATATGGAGAGGGTACAACCCCGTTCGTATTTGCGGACGACCTCGCTGTACTAGTAGTGACTCGGGTTGAGCCATATCTCAAATACCGAGTTCTGAACGCAGGCAGCTTCGTAAAGAAATAGATGACACAGCACGGACTGAAACTTGCGACAGAGAAAACAGAAGCCATTATTCTGCAGGGGAAAAGGAACAGCGTACAGAAGGAACACCCAAGAAACACGTACAGTACCTAGGAGTGACATTGCATCAGAGTGGAAAACACGTGCGGGAGGTGGCCCGGAAGGATGCGAATAGTGCGGCTGTACTAACAGCCAACATTCGGGGACCCAAATCTGAAAGAAGGAGAGTCCTACACGGTGTTGTATAGTCGATCGTCCTCTAGTCTAAGCGGCACCAGTCTGGAGCGCGGCAGTAAAGATAACGGCATATAGGAGGCTCATTACACGAGTGGACAGAACAAGTCTGTTGCGAGTGGCATGCGCCTACAGGACTGTCTGCGGCAGTCTTGTGGACATCACTTAATGTGTTCCGTTGCACGTTCTGGCGGTGGAAAGAAAAGAGCTCTATGAGAAAAGAGACTCAAATCTTACCATGGCCTAGAGAAGACAGAAAAGAAAAAGGTTAATTTAAAGATAGCAAGAAGAATGGAATAACACAAAGGATGTGACACAGTGGACGAAAATGCTGATACCGAATATAAGATATTGTGTGGACTGTGGTCACAGGCGACTGGATTATTTCCTAACGCAGGTGCTCATAGGACATGGGTGTTTTGGGGCCTTCTTCTCTGGGTTCGGAAAGGCTGACACAGACGAATACCTATGTGTGAGTTTTATTACAGTGAGAGAAATGATTGAGAGAATGATTAAAAATAAAGCAGGTTGAACTAGTATACACAACTATATCCGTGCAGTTATCAAGAAAAAAGAAGAGGAAGAAAGACAGCTGCGCCAACAAAAAAATGTAAGAGGGAAAGATACTGGAAGTTAAAGGTAGAAAAGTGGGTCAGACTGTATGAGTTAAACTGTGTGAGTCAGACTGGGAAAGAAGGAAATGCCCGCATGCGAGTGATACCGTACTAGGACCGATGACGGAATTCTACGCGCTACCTAGAACGAGAAAGGTAGCCTCCTTGTATCCCTGAGTATAATGTAGAAATAGAGATAGAGATGGAGATAGAGATAGAGATAGAGATAGAGATAGAGATAGAGATAGAGATAGAGATAGAGATAGAGATAGAGATAGATAGAGATAGAGATAGAGATAGAGATAGAGATAGAGATAGAGATAGAGATAGAGATAGAGATAGAGATAGAGATAGAGATAGAGATAGAGATAGAGATAGAGATAGAGATAGAGATAGAGATAGAGATAGAGATAGAGATAGAGATAGAGATAGAGATAGAGATAGAGATAGAGATAGAGATAGAGATAGAGATATAGAGAGATATAAATGAGAGTGATACTAGTAGCGAAGATTATGAAGATGATGAAGAATTATCTAAGGAAAGCTTTTTTTATGTAAAAACGCAAACTTTTGTACGTACACTACAGAATAAAATGACGAAAAACGAAAATGACAATTATTGTTGGACTAGCGATACATACCTATTTTCTTGTAGAACATTGTTTTATTTTTATTTATTTGGATGAAAATTACACGTAAATTTACCTATCACGTAATTCCTTTGTCCTACAGTTACTAATAAAAAAATGGTCTTGGAATATTAACAACTTTTGAATATAGGACCTGGATAATACCTCGTAACTTGTAGGACAGTATGGGGTTAAATAATATAAATATTAATTAAACAACAGAAACCAAAATTGGGTGGTTAGTATTTATTTTGAATAATCTCGGTAATGACGCAAGTTGAAAAGTACGGATAAAATCTTGCGTTTTGTAGGATAAATATTTTTTGGGCTAATTTAGATAATTATCTTGAGAATTATTAAAGAAAAACCCAGTGAGGAATAAATTTTATAAAAGCAACAAATCAACATATTTCATTCTCGCTATCGTTGTTAGCTACTACAAATGAAAATTATTGTAAGAATAAAAGTTCGGCGTTTCGCCAAAATAAAGCTACTTATGAAAAATTAGATTGTTGGTAATATCTGTTAAAATGTAGTAAAAATGGTCCTAAAATCCCTCACCATTACTAAGTCAAAGTTACAATGGTCGAGGGTGAAGTAATAATCAGCAAGTGTGTCTTACAGTGGTCCTTTTTGTTGGTTGTTGATACCAATTTTGATACAATTAGTTTTATGTTGTAAAAGAGCTCAGTGTATATTTTAACTTCTCATGATTTCAGTTAGAAGACTGCATAAAAATATGATTTTAAAATACGTGTTTACTCACCTCTTCTGCAATTTTACATAAATTCTCAGCCATCGATTTTCCAGTTTGTTTAACCAAACTACAGAATATTCCCTCTGTATTTTGTAACAAAATGTGCGGATGATTGAATTCTACTGCTGAACCTGCATCCATTACTAATACCTTATCAGAGTCCATGACTGTATGTAATCTAAAAAACTCATCCATTATATTAAAGATACTTCATTATACTTCATTATATTAAAGATAGAAACAGTTTTTACTCTGTAAGGCAATTGGCCAATATCACACACACACACACACACACACTACACCTCAAATTGTAAGATTGGCGAATGGATTTAGTGTCCGCAGTCATTTAAACACAAACAAACAAACAACAAACAATTGGCCAATATAATTACATTGGAGTAACGCATTTGTTAGTGTAGCAGCGTCTGAGGGTTCGGGAGACTGAGACTTCGGTAGAACTGAAAAAGACATCAGAGGATGTCGAAAGATCGACGCAATGATAATTGACGCAATATTATGGATATAGGAACTAATGTTAAACTCAATAGTCTTCCGGGTTAAACGCGTCGATTATCATTGCACCGAGTTTTCGACGTCCTCTTCGATGTCTTCTTTAAGGCTTCCAAGGCCTGAGTCTCCCGAGCATCCAGACACTATTACACTGATCTGTAACCAATGCATTACTGGTACTGGGAACAGAGCACGGTTCATTTATACCGCGACGGTGACGTGCTTGTGGTAGATGTTGGCGTGTGGGTTAGGATGGAAATTGGCGCGGAGATTGGCGCGGAGGTTGGTGCGAACATTTCTGACAGTAGGATTTTGATTGATGGGTGAAGCTAACGACATTCTTTTTATGAGAGGTCTTCAAGTCGAAGGTGACCGTATGTGGTCATCTCTTTTATTGCGGCAATTTGGCCTTTTTTCAATTTCTATGGCTTCTCGGATAATTCTTGATTTATAGAAGCGGAAACCTATAATATCAACATTTTACCCACTAAAAATGGTGTGGTGCAAAAATAAGATATGTTTTTTCTTCTTATTTTGACAACAACCTGTGGAATATAATATTAACGTATTTAATATTAATAATAATATTAATATGGCGAAATAGCTTCATCTTGTCTTCTTAGTTTCGTAAAAAAATCATCATGATAATTTTATTATCAAAAAGAAAAATACGTTCAAAACATAATGTGATTTTATTGAATTGTAATACTGAATAATGGAAAATAAGTTGAAAGTTAGACCTGCAGAATCTAAAAATTTGACGGGGCAGTTTTAGACTGTCACTATTAATTACTATTTAAATGGTATATTATTTATAATATAAAGTTAATAATATTTACAGCAGTGTATAAAATCGTTAAGAAAAAATAAAAAAATACCTGTGAGCTATTGTTAGAACGGTACAATTGGCAAATTTGTTTCGTATGGTAGACTGTATTAAAGCATCTGTTTTCGGATCAACATTGGCTGTAGCTTCATCCAAAACAAGGATCTTGTTTTTTCTCACTATAGCTCTAGCCAAGCACACGAGTTGACGTTGACCCAAACTAAGATTTGATCCGGCTTCACCTATTTTGCTTTCTAAACCCATTTCCATATCAGAGACAACATCTAAAAAAAATAAAGAATACTATATAAATAAAGAATAGTTACTATCTAAATAAATTTTATAAATTTATAAAACAAGATTGTTTTAATTTTAAGACACGTTGCTCAAACTTAATTTTACCTAAAGGCTTTTAGTTTGTGCATGAAAAATTAAAACAAATGTAGTGGATAATTATATTAAATAAAAATGGTTTATTTAACGTTCATAAAAAAGTAAAATAAATAAGTGGTATATTTACGAGAAAAAATCTTTCTGTGCCAGTTAATCCATTTACTACTAAAGTTGGTGTCGTTATCAGTAACAACAAAATTTTTGTGGATAAAGAGACATCCTAAATGTAGAAAGTTATATCTTTCCGTTTATATATAGGAAAAGTATCGATATCTATTAGTAACCGAAGACAAAGGAAAACAATCAATATTGGACCAAAATACAAAATTTAAGACAAGAAACACATTTTTTTTTTCTATCAAATATGTAATCCATAATTAAACGGAATAATTTTATATACAGAGATAGTGCAAGCACTCTTGACCACGGCGCAGTAGACGAAATTTGGTTTAGTCCCCACTTCCATGCGAAACGCATTGTACTATGCACTGTATAATTCCACTTACAATGGAACCTTTCTACCTTTACGTAAATTTTGACTCTACCTTCGCGCAGCTCCATGGTTAGGAGTACTTGCACTATCTCTAATATGACCTTAATATAATCTATGATATTATACTCAAAATATGCGACTATTGTAAAGTTGGAATAAAAACCATCTTACCCTTTAGAGCTACTTCTTCTAGAGCTCGCCATAGGTCTTCATCATCGTATTCATCCATAGGATCTAAGTTTGATCGCACTGTACCAGAAAATAGTACAGGTGACTGGGGTATAATAGCTATCTTTGAACGCATACTGGTTAAGGGTATATCACTGGTACATATTCCATCGATCAATATCTTTCCTTCAATATCTGTTAATCTAAAACAGTTATTATAGAAAATAGGTTTAGATAGTTTCAAAATGGTAAATTGACCAGTTTGGAACTATCTTAATATTTAGTACATACTCACAAATAAAACTATTACATATTTTACCTTCGGGCATTTTTTTGTTAAAATGTTTGAGTTTTATATTGTTCATTATTGTTTATTTATACAGTGTTTTATATTATTAATAATCAAATAAACTATAAATTAATATTTATAACAAATTCTTGTACGAATTATTAAAATTACTTCTTGTTTCGCAAACACATTTATTAATAAAATATCTTCTACCTGTTTTTGTGTCATATCAAAATTATTCAACGTTATTGATTACTTCTAGTATACATGGTTCAACCCCATACAAAAACACTACCCACACAGTACTTAATTATCCTTTTTTTTAGTCCCAAGCTGAAATTGGTACGACAAAGAAATATTTATGACTTTATAAAATTGTTTTTAGTCATTGAAATTTGGCAATTTACTTCTATGTCCGAATCTAGTTGGTCTATTATGATCTTCCTAAATAAGTGAATTTGTTAACCATTTGTACTATTTATTTCGTATTTAATATTGAATATAAGTTACGGTTAAACACTGCCTGGGATGATTGCGAGGTGAACTGAGTAGTTCTGCGGTTAACACAGCCGGTCCCAAGCTCCGGTAAAATAAAGAGGTTTATTGGCAATGCTAGCAATCTACCAATGGTAAAAATAAATACTGCTTAAAGAAACAATGAACAGCCTCAAAACTGGATTGATACTATTATAACGACCACGGCAAGAAATAAGAACAAGCGAAAAACATCCAAAACCCAGATGAAAATTACTACTTGGAATAGCAGATCGCTCTACTTAAGGAATCAAAAAATAATCCAAGTGCTGAAAGAGATAGAAATAGACGTTTGTGTTTTACAGGAATCAAAAAAGAAAGAAAAAGTATAATCAAAATTGGGTGAATACATACTAATCTACACTGGAGTAGCAAAATAAAACAGGATCAAAGAAGGTGTAGCCTTATTAATACACCAAAGGTATTAAAATCACATCAAAGAGTGTCAATAATATTACGAACGATTGTTACAGCAAAGATAGGAATGAAGAAGGAAGATCTAAATATCATCGGAGTATACGGCCCAGAAAATAACAAGCCTCAAACAATAAGGGAAACGTTTTATGACCAACTACAACAAGTAGTAGATCAAATCAGAGGGAAGATAATAATAATGTAAGGTGTTAACGCTCAAATAGGCAATTAAGTAATACCCGAAATAAAGCAAAAAAAAAATAACGAGGATATCAAAAATGAAAATGGAAAACTGATAAACTTCTGCACGAATAACAAACTTAGAACAAACACCACATTTTTTGATCACAATGACCAATACAAACATACATTTAATAACACTTGTGGACAAAAATCTATGAAAAATTATGTTATAACCAACAGAGATATACAGCCATCGCAAATAATCGACGTAAGATGCCTCAACTCAGCAGATGAAGGTAGCGACCCTAGCGTAGTATTATTTAAAATAAGAATCATCCTGAAATACTTCACACCCAAGAGAGCGGCGCCAACACAAACAAAAATCAAAGTCGAAGGACTAAATACGAAATCCACGTAATACTTATAAAGAAAAAGAATATCAGAGAAAATACTATAATTATCGCAGTAACAGAATAAATTGGAGAGAAGAAAGTAACAAACACTGACATACCAAAAAAGAAAACACCACAATTTAGAGAGGAACTGAAGACAAAATGTGAAGAAAAAAGAAAGCCTTTTTAGAATATAAAACATAACAACTACAACAGGCAGATGACCACTATAAACGAATAAAAAATGTAACAAATACTTTAGTTAGAAAAATAAAAAGGGAGCACTGGCAGAGCTCCTCAAAACAGATAGAACACGACTTCTACGGAACACAAAAAGAAATATGGAGAATGATCAGAGGACAAAGAAAAGAGATGAATGAACTAATAAAAACGAAACACATTCAGAAGGTAACATGGGTAGACCACTATCGATCCCTATTTGCAAAAGGTGACAATAAGGAGGTAAGGAAGAGGTAAAGGAGGCATTAAGAAAATTAAAAAATAGAAAATCACCAGGAGAGGACAGAATACTGAACGAACTTGGAGGACCAGATCTGACCAAACAACTATTAAAATAAAACTTATCCAAAAAATAATAGAACAAAAGAGAATTCCTCAATAATAGGAACCAAGCATCCTAATACCTCTCTTCAAAATGGGAAACCAACCGGACCAGGAAAATTACAGAGAAATTAATTTATTAAACACAAGACTAACATTAACAACCAAAGTGATAACAAATAAAATGAATGAAATTATAACACTAGCAGAAGAACAATAACGTTTCAGGTCAGAAAGATCATGCACCGACGCTATATTTATAATGAGGCACTTGTAAGAGAAATCATTATATTACAATAAACTGGAATATCTATTCGTAGACCTCAAGAAGGCATTTCACCAGGTCAAATTAAAGGACGGTATCCATTTATTGTAAACAAGAGATACCTCTAGGAATAATCAAAACGATCGAAAATATTTACCAAATACACAATACAATAAAAGTAAAAGTGAAAGAAGAACTAACCAACCCCATTAAAGATGGAAATGGGATAAAACAAGGAGATTGCTTGAGTCCTCTATTATTTAACCTGATTATGGATGAAATATTAAAAAAATAAAAACTAAAAAAGGAAACTAAATGGGAGAAAAACAACTTAAAATAATCTGCTATGCAAATGACGCAATAGTCTTAAAGTGAAGACGATTTACAACGTATGCTGCACCAATTTAATATAACCGGCAGAAAATTTAACATGTTAATTTCCCCAAAAAAGACAAAATGCATGATTACAACAGCAGATTTACTAAGATTTAAATTGGAGCTGTAAGGTCAGATAATAGAACAAGTGAAAGAGTTAACATATCTACGCATCAGATTATCTACCTACGGAAAGCTGGAAACTAAAGTGGAGGATCAAGTGAATAGAGTAACTAGAGCCGCAGGCTGCCTGAATAAAACAGTATGGAGAAATAAAATATAGAAAAAGAAGTGAAAGACAAAATTTACAAAACAGTCATCAGACCAATAATGACATACTCGGCAGAAACACCTGACACAGAAAGGACAAAAAGGATATTAAAAACAGCAGAGATTAAAACACATAGAAAAATTGATGGCAAGATACTATAGGATAGAGCTATAAGTACAGATATATGACGTCCATGCAAGGTGGAGAACATCAAGAACTGGATAAGATATAGAAAAGTAGAATTAAACGATCATGTAAGCTAAATGACAACAAATTGAGTAGTAGAGATGGCAAGAGACGGTTCCCCAATAGGAAAACGATTGGTAGAAAGGCCACGTAAACGATGGAATGACAATTTACTGTAGGCACATTGAAACACAGACAGTATCACAATATCACAGTATCACAATATCACAGTCTACATAAAAAGAAAAGGAAGAAGAAGAATAAGAAGAAAAAGTTATGGTTGTACATTTAAAATTACAATTTATTTTAATTTTTTTAATTTTCGTACATTTACAAGCTAAGAGGCATCGAGATCTTGGACTCATATTTTCATGATTAGTAGGAGTTTGTAGTTGGCGATTATTATCTTTTGTATCCTTATGCCGTTATTTATTTGATTATTCCATCCTTGGAGCCAATTTTTAACTTCAGAACAAAATATTGTCTTATTTTTGCTAACTCATCCGTCTCTGAAAACGTTAGTCCGTATACGGTGTATTACTTATACCAGTGTTTAGCACGTGAAAGCACGTATAGGTGCTTTTCTGTTACATTACATTACATTTTTCTGTTATCGATATTAAGACTTTTTCTTATTTTTTAATCTCTCCAAAATCTTAGTAAAATGTAACATAAATTATTTTTTTACATAATAACCACGCAATGTAATAACACTTTAATATTTAGTGTTTCTCCTCCAACTATAATGAGGACTTGCATTATCCTGGGAATACTGCGCAAAAGATATTTGATCTATTCTTACGGTACTTGATGTTAAAATGTGTAGCTTAATTTTAATTTTTTAATTAAATGAAAACGGGAATTAAATCGACTTCTTTTTTCTTACTCTTGTAGAAAAATGTGGGTTTTTTCGATGACATCCGAAATGATTATGGGCAATCCACAGTCAGAATTCTGAAGGAGTGGACTAGAATTACCATCAAACTTGCTGCTTTACACAATCAGAAGACTTTTTTATTGAAATGTAGATCTAATGGATGTTTTCCTGGACGTGTTATAAGTAGCCTAGTTAATGTTAATTCCCTTTTACATAATCGCACTGGGAATATTCATCATGATGCTCCGAAATTATGTGACAGGTTTGGAAGAAATATTATTAATTTAGAGATTAAGATTACTTTTGCTGATATTAACTTTTTTGAAAGAAAATTACATGAATTACGTACCAAGGCTTATAATATTTTAAATTTCCACACATTTAATGAATTTAATCGTAGACAAAGAATTAAATACAACACAGAATTTCATAAAATTAAAAAAATACAAATTAATAAGTTCAATAAATTAAAAATAGAAGCTTTTGATAAGAAAAAATTTCAGGAAAAATGGTTTAAGAATCTAACATCTATTCAGTTACCTTTTGAAATTAAAAAATTTTTAGCATTAGGACCTAAATTTTCTTTATGTCCTTCCAAATCTGATATTAGAGTTCCTAATTTACTTTCTGATATTGAATCAATAATCAGACCACTTAATGACAATCAAAAGGATGTTGTTAGATACAAATGTACAAACGCCATTACAAACTTTTTACATAAAGAAGTCAAAGCTCATTTTTAAAATAAATACTATTTACAAACTAAACTTTTTCTTAAAAACCATCCTGAAATTTATATTGTCAGAAGCGATAAAGGTAACGTAACTGTTGTAATGTATAAAGAGGATTACCTACAAAAAACTGGAGAACTCTTAAATGATACTAAGTATTACACTACACTTAGAAGGAGTCCTGTTTGTACTTTACAACAAAAAGCAAATTATCTAGTATCAAAATTAAATAGTAAGAAATTTATTGATAATAAAAAAGCAAAAGAATACAAAATTTATAATTCTATTGCACCACGGTTTTATGCTCTACCTAAAATACATAAACCAACTTTATCTATGAGACCAATTGATTCATCTCTATGCCCTCCAAATGTACCAATAGCACAGCTCCTCACTTACATCTTAACCAATGCTTATAATTTAAACAACAATTTTTACATAAAAGATTCATTTAATTTTAGTTCTTTCATTAATAATTTCTAATTACCACAAAATTATGTTTTAGTTAGTTTTGATGTAACATCTCTTTTTACCAATTTACCTTTAAATTTAATCATAAGTAGTGTTGAAAAACATTGGAATGAGATTTCGCAACATACTAATATTGACTTATTACATTTTAAAACACTCATCAACTTTGTTTTTGATTCTAATATTTTTATATTTAATGGTGTTTTTTATAAACAAATTTTTGGTAGCCCTATGGGATCTAGTCTTTCACCCATTCTAAATAGCTATGTCATGGATGATGTTATTAGTGATTGTATTAATAATTCCACTTTTTTCATTCCATTTATCAAAAGATATGTAGATGATCTAGTTTTGGCACTTCCTAAACACAAAATTCTTGAAACAGTCAACATTTTCAACAATCATAATCAACATATACAATTTACAGTTGAGGAAGAGGTAGATAATTCTCTACCATTCCTTGACATGAGAATTGTAAGAAATACAGACAATATGTTAAAAACCAGATGGTTCAGAAAACCCATATGTAGTAATAGATTTATAAGCTATTACTCTAATCATCCAACTAAGATGAAAATGAACCTTATAACAGGATTAAAGGAACGTGTTTTAAAACTTTCTCATCCAGACTATCTACAAGAAGATCTTCATTTGTTAAAAAATATTTTAATTGAAAACTCTTATCCTCCAGATATGCTACATAGGATGTTTTTTTCTAATTTATTAAATATAAATAACTTAACACCATTTTTTGCTAAATCTCAAAACACTGTATCCAACAATCAAAACATATATTATCATTCACTACCTTTTATACCATCATTAACTCCTAAATTAATACAAACACTAAAGGTTATTGACAATATAAAAATAGCAACAAAGAACATCAAAACTATTTTATCTTTATATTCCAAAACTAAATATCCTATAGACAAATTAGATCAAACAAATGTAGTATACAAAATTGTTTGTACTCAGTGTGAAGCTGAGTATATTGGTGAGACTGGAAGAAATCTCTCAAATCGCATTATTTCTCACAAGAGTGATTGCAGAATTAAGAAACCATCTTGTGCTTTGGCAAAGCATGTAATAGACAAAGACCATATTATTGATTTTGATAATGTTAAAATTTTATGTAGTGAAAGTAATAAATTTAAAAGAACTTTTTTGGAAATGGTTTGTATTAGCAAAAGTGATAATAATTTAAACAAAAGGCAGAAATTCAAAATCTAAGCAAAATTCATAATTATATTATTTCTATGTAATTTATATATACAGTCAGTAAAATATCACATTTTGAATTTTCCATGTATTTGTTACATTTTTTCAGGCATCTATCAATGGTGAATAAATCTTCTTCTTTTTTGTTACCAAACAAAGAAGAATTTTTTAAACAAAATTTTTATTTTTGACAATATGTCAAAAATAAAAATTTTTAAGTTAGTATTTATGACATTTAGGCTGGTTTGTAGCTATTCAATTTTTGTTTACAAATTCAATTGTTTTTGTTAAGAAACTTCATCAAAATTTTTCAGAGAAACATTTATTAGAATAAGACATTTTTTTATTAATATTTTTTATAATTAATATGTAAGCAGCAGTTTTATATAAAAAAACTAATTTTATTTGGTGAGTTAACAAAAATTTTTTTATTTCTAGTTCAACTTTGCAAGATATTTTGTATTTTTTAGAAGCTCTTGATAATAATTGTAATCACAATTGAAAGCTCGAGTAAAAAATAGTCAACAAATAGACTCCATTTTATTGACTTCAACCCATCCAAAACAGTTATATATATATATATATATATATATATATATATATATATATATATATATATATATATATATATGTATATACTACTATTTTCATATTTATCAACTATTTTAAGCTTACCTGAAAAGAGCAGAAATCAACGTTGATTTTCCTGCTCCTGTTCTTCCCACAATTCCAACCTTCTCTTTAGGTTTAATCTTAAAAGTAAGATTGTTCAAAACATAAGGTAGGTTTGTGGCATACCGCAAGTAAACAGACTGGAACTCAAGCATACCATTCTCCGGCCATCTTTTTGGCGGCTCCTTTTGTTTCTCGTGGGATTCTTGTTTTATATTAATGTAATCAAGCACTCTTTCCACTGACGTCATCGAGTTGTCCAATTCGCTCCATTGACGCATGCCCCATTGGAACATACCTGTTAAACTTATAGCTTGGGTGATTGCTAGACCAACGTTGCCACCATAAGCTAACAAAATGTTACAATGTTATTAAAAATGTTGTCAACAAAAATAATCGCAATAAAATTATGTAAAAATATATACACCAGGGGATTTCCTTCTATATGTGTAACCATCTCAGTTGCAAGATATGGCACGAACTTCGAATGAGTATTTAAATGTTACCACTGCCTCTGGCACATCTCTTACTTTTGTCACATCTCTTTGTATCTACAGTAACAAAGAAACTAATATTGTACGCTATCCACTTATCTCGAGAAAACATACAGTGAGGACGTAAAGGTTTGCATAAATTCAATCTTTTTGTATTTTTATATTTTGGATTGCGCATCGGCTTGTACAATTCGAAATACTGATGATGTTACCATTTGCATGTACATGGTGTCATCGGTGTTTTATCAAATGGAACGATAATATTCATTTTTCGTTTTTAAATCATGAGTTCGTGAATTAGCGGGAAATGTTACTTAGCTTAAATACGTTACAATTTTATTACAATTTTTTTTATTTTGAGCAACACATTAAGTCTTACCTCCTATCGAATTGTTTCTGTTAATTCTTTAATATTCCCTAGCCTATTTATGTGTATTTAAGATTTAAAGTAACCCCAGAAGTAAAAATCAAAGATGACTAAATTAGGGGATCTTGCTGGCCACCCTAAACTTTCTCGCTTACCTATTCATCGGTAGGAAAGAACAGTATTTAAATAAACACGCACTATCATTGCATGATAGGGTGGTGCACAAACCTGTCGAAACCATGTCAAATTACTAGGCATATTTGGATTTTGATTATCTGGATATAGCGCAGTGATTGCAGAAATAATATCGTTTTGAAGACTTTCTAAATAATTTTCCGCAGTCAACGTTTCTTCAATGAAAAATGGCCTCAAAATATTGTTGCCAACAATTCCAGCCCAAACATTAACTTTTTGCGGATATTACATATGCGCCTCCATCATTCAATGAGGATTATTATCTAACTAATATCTACAGTTTTGCCTATGAACGGTACCATTTAAATAAAATGTTGCTTCGTCTGAAAACACTACAGATTTTACAAATTGTGGGTCATTATTACATCGCTCCATCATCATTTCTCATAATTCAGTCCTTCCATCATAATAGTCCTTGTTGAGCTCCTCAACTAAATTAACTTTTTATGGGTGCCACTTATTTTTTTTTCAAATATTTCAAAACTGCAGATCTGCTTAGTGAGTTTGCATAGTTAATAACAAATTTTTACTGCTAATCATCTCCAATTGTAGAACAATTTTATAATTATCTCTTACATAACCTAGATCTCTTAAATTTATGTTCTATTATTGTTGATTAATTAATAGAACAATCTGGTACTTACCATTCCATAATTAACAAATTTGTTGTTGTGTCCGAACTTGTGACCACATCCGCACATAATTAACAAATTTCAATTCGTTCTTTCTCACTTTAACGTACCATTACTTGTAAAGTTCACAATAAGTTAGTTAAAAATACAATAATGAAATATTTGACACTATTATTGTAAACAAAACGTATAGATACCAAAAAATAACAATAGAAAAACATCTATAAACACTTTTGTTGTTTAACATTTTAGTTAAAAATTTTTCGATATAATTTGTTTATAATTAACAATATAATAATTTTAGACATATTTTTAAAATTGTTTTTTAAAGCACAATTCAAAAACGAAAAAAAATTATCGTTCCATTTGGAAAAACATCGATGACCTCATGTACATGAAAATGGTGATGTTATCATTATTTCGATTTATACAAGCCAATGCGCAATCCAAAATGTAAATCGATTTCGATTTGGTCAAAATATTTTAAGTTACAAAAATATTGAATTTTTGCAAACTTTTACATTCTTACTGTATAGTAAAATACTTTCAGTGATTTTGGAGTGAAAATTAAACAAGAAAATAGTTCTTGGTGAGTATGGAAAGATTACAAATAGAGGAGCCTACTTTCTACAAAGTCTACTTTCTTACTTTTTTCCGCCTTCACTTAGGCTATCACACGTGCAGCCTGTGTCATACTTAAATGGCAAGAGTATTGGAAATTCAGTCCAAATATCTTTATTCTGGTTAATTTTTATGAAAAAAATGGAAGCGACCTTAAACGCGACTGCGACAAATGGTGTTCTTTCAAAACGACTGACGAGAAGTCTTGAAAACATTACCAAGACTTGTCAACCAAATACGGTTCCGAAGTAATTTTTTGGTTCGATTTGTTATTAAGTTCACAAAAAATAACAAAAATTTGACAAATATTTTTATATATAAATATGGTAAGTATTTCAAGGACAAATACCGAATAAGTATATAATTTTATTTATTTATTTAGCGTATAACGTATAGGTGAAGCCCGGGGAATACCGCGCACAGGGGAATATCGCAAATCAGTATATTGGCAACACGGAGTAAGTATTACAATATTCAACACAGTGCGCCGTCTCGTATTTGCTAGCCGACCACATGTTTGTAATATGACTGCATTCGTAGTATTGGTTTAGACAAGGGGATATGTTGTTTGTTTTTCAAGACTTTGATGTAATTTTCGACTAATCTTCAACAAGCGGTAAGTGCTTTTGGTACTAATTTTTATTATAACTTTTCAGCGATTATTTTGCTTTATATTTATAGAGAATTTCACGTACAAAAATAATGCATTTTATTTAGTCATTAACGAAAAGTCAGTTAGGTTACTCACTTGGGGGAATACCGCGCAGCTGTGTCTAGTTATTTTCGTGCTGCGCGGTATTACCCCGTGTATTCCAAAATGCCCCGTGGTTACGTTCGGAAAACTGAAAGATCAAAATGGACAGAAGATGAACTAAAAGCTGCGATCACTGCTATACAATCGGCGAAAAATACGAGAAGTAGGTCGATCATTCAATATTCCAGAATTCACTCTACGTGAAAAACTAAAGTCCAATAGCCATAAAAAAATAAAACTTGACATGAAACCAATTTTTAATGATGAACAGGAATCCACTATAGCCAACCACGTTAAAAGTTGGCGAATATGTTTTTGCAGTGACACCATGAGAACTAAGGCGTTTAGTATACCACTTTGCTAAAGGAAATAAAATAAAACACCGTGTCGACTCGTTAACCCTTTGAGACCTTGTGTACATGTGTATGTACATAGCTTTTATTGTTTTGTTAAATACCAACTACTCACTTATCTATACCGAAATAGCATTCAGTCACTCAAATATACATTTACGATCCACATTTTTAACTTCTGCTTCCATCTAGTGGTCAACAGGTAAAGTTGTCAGCGATTTTGTTGTAAAGTGTCAGCTGTTTAGTTGGTAACCGATACTGCTAGTTTTATTTTACGAGAAACTGTTATCTTTTGTGAAACGAAATCGATCAAACTTTTTAAGTGTGATTTATAAGGTAAGTAGTTTTTTATAAACTACAAAACATTGCCATAAAAACGATAGTTTTGAAATAAACAAACATTTTTTAGATGCACATGAGCGTGTACAAGTGGTCTGAAAGCATATTTCTGATTGTACATCTGTATGTACATATGGTCTAAACTTGGATTTTAACTTAGTATTGTTGATTGCAGATAACATGGATTGCAAAAGAAAAAAATATGATTTCGACAACCCAAAACATCTCCAAGAGTTAATTGACCTCATAGAGGACGGTATCGTATCAGAAATAGATAATTTTGAAGTTCCTGGAGGAGAGAGTTCTGACGAGGAGGATGGAATTCTAGATAACTGTGAGAATAAATCTATTATAAGACCAGGGGTTAATGCTTTGACCAGACGTGACACTGAGACACTGGAAGAAGGTGATGGCAGCGAAAATGATAATGAGGAGTTAGGGAGAACTTTTGATTCAGACGACGAATATATACCAGATGAAGTTGCAGGTTACTCGGGTACAAAAAAATTAGGAAGTAAAGTATGTTTCTCAGAAAAAGATTGTTCTAAAAAACCAAAACAAAGATGAATTAAAACAAAAAGAGAACCGTAGAGTGGACGAAGGCATCGATAAAGATTTCTTCATTTACATGGCATCCTACTTCCCCAAATACAAGTCTTACAGAGCCACTGTACCCAATTCAGTATTTTTCGAAGTATATTTCAAATGATTTGTTTGAAAATATAGCAACATTTACAAATGTATATGCCTTACAGAACGGAAAAAATTTTAGACCAACTGATGAGAGAGAAATTAAAATTTTATTTGCACTTCATATAATGATTGGAAATTTAAACTAATTTCCCAAAATTAGGATGTAATGAGAAAGAAGCCTTGGTATTAGAATGTTCCTAGATAACATGTCTAGGGACAGATTTTTCCAGCTTAGAACATGTTTACATCTAGTGGAAACAATTGAGCAATTTGGAAAGACCAGCAGGTGATACAGATAAATTTTATAAGGTTCGTAATATCATCGACGCTCTCAGAAAAAGATGTTTACAGCTTGAACTTGAGGAACTACTTAGTGTTGACGAGCAAATGATTCCTTACACAGAAAAACTTTCCGTAAAACAATATGTGAAGGAGAAGCCCTGTCCTTTGGGAATAAAATTATTCGTCTTGTGCGGAAAACGTGGTCAGGCTTTTGATTTTGTTTTTTATCGGGGTAAATCTACAGAACTGAATGCAGATAATAAAACAAAACATGGATTAGACGCATTTATCGTTCTTCAACTAGCCGAAAGAATTTCCACAAGTGAAGGCCACAAATTATATTATGACAATTATTTCTCATTATTGGCCAAAAAAATATATGCTGGAGGGACTATTCGAATAGATAGATTTTACAAACCTCCTGTGTTACCAGACAATGAAATGCTGAAACTACCGAGAGGTTCCGTAGATGAAGTCGTCAATAAAGAAAAAAATGTGGTGCCAATCTAATGTTTAGATACAAAGACTGTGAAATTAGCCTCCAATTATGTTGGTGCTGGTAATTTAGACATAGTTAGAAGATGGGACAAAAAGGCTCTTGTTACGTAGATGTTAACCGACCTGAAATTGTCAAAGAATATAATTATGGAATGGGCGGAGTTGATCTAATGAACCAGATGATTAATTATTATCGAATATTTATTAGATCGCGAAAGTGGACATTGCGTGTTATTATGCACATGATAGACTTTGCTCTCACCAACAGCTGGCTGGAATACAGGAAGGACTGCGACAAATGTAATACAACCAATAAGGATCGAGTAAAATTTCTAGACTTCAGAGTCAGAGTTGCCAAAAGCCTAATAAATATGGGCAATTCAGTAAGTAGAAAACGAGGAAGACCAGCATCTTCATCTCCTTAGCCTTCTATTTCAACATTTAAAAGACGAGGAGAGACGAGACCATTTTTGGAAATATAAACGGACAATTTTGGTCACATACCGGAGTTTGATTCTAAGAAGAAGGCTACTAGGTGTAAAAACACAGACTGTAATGGACGTAGTCATGTGGTGTACAAAATGTAAAACACATCTATGTTTAATTAAGGTTAGAAAATGTTTTGCAGCTTTTCATGAACAATAAATATGTAATAATAATTACTTTGTAGTAAATATATTTTTAGTGTTGAGTTTATATTTAAGACCATATGTACATACATATGTACAATAAAAAATTTTTTTTTTAAAAGCGTACACAAGTTTTTTTCATTTTATCTTACTAATTGAAAACTTTTGAAATATAAAAACACATAAGATTTTTTTTTGAAAATAAAAAAGTCAGGTCTCAAAGGGATAAAGAAGATTGCTGGTGAAGATTGGTTAGAACTCTTGTTAAAGCGTCATCCAGACATGTGTTAGAAAACCCGAAGGTACCAGTCAAAACCGCATTTCTGCATTCAATAAAGATGGGGTTGAACGATTTTCTAACAATCTGCTTACATTTATGGAAAAGTTCAAATTTCCTGAGATTCAAATATTTAACGTAGATGAAACGGGCATTTCTACGGTCCAGAAACCATAAAAAATTTTGGCACCAAAAGGTCAAAAGCCGGTAGGATCCGTAATATCTTGGGAAAGAGGGAAAAATGTAATTGTTTCAGGACAGTTTGTTCCTCCTATGTTCATATTTTCTCGAATACGTATGAATCCACAATTATTGAGAGAAGGCCCAATTGAAGCAATCTACAGATGTTCAAAAAACGGTTGTATAAATAAAGACTTATTTTTCGACTGGATCAAACATTTTTGTTAGCATATCTTCTTCTTCAAGTGCCATCTCCGCGGCGGAACTTGGCAATTATCATAGCTATTCGGACTTTTGATACAGCTGCTCTAAAAAGTTCATCTAATGTACATCCGTACCACTCTCTCAGGTTGTCCATAATTTTTTGGTTTTTATTGTATTTAAAATTTCCATTTCTTTACTCATCCTTCCTAGAACTTGTTTGTGACGTGTTCTGTTCACGATGTCAATATATAAAGGCCCCGAAAGAAGATCCAGTGCTTCTCATATTGGATACCTAACCATAGGAGTCACATTTCTTTGGAGATTTATACTTACTGCAGATCACACGGAATTGTTATGGTTTAACTTCCCCCTTATACCTCACACAGGATTCAACCTCTTGACCTAACTCTTTTGGGTCGTAAAAAATGGTTTTAATCGTGAGTGCGACTTGTATCTGAGAACTCATACTCATAAAAAGATCACACATTTTGAACTTGCTTCAATTTTTAACAGTGCATACCCTAAAAGTTGCCACGATAGACAAAGGAATATCCGGGTTACGTGCTGCTGGAATATGACCCATAGATCCTAATAAGTTCTCTGAAGATGATTTCAGCTTAGTAGATCACACTGAAGTTTCAGATATGCACGTTGTAATGGACTTAGAAACCAACGTTACCAATGATGACAGCGCCCTTGATCAGTCAAGATATGACGAAACTCTGCAGAGAACCCCAACCGGGACCATTGAGATGTGATGAAACTATGCACAAGACTCTATCTTATAATGCCAAATTAAAATTTAACCAGCAAGCTGCACCCCAGCCTAGAACGTGAGGAAATGTTAAAACTCAGTCTAGTATACCCATTGAAAAGGTAGCTCCTCTTCCTTCCAAATTTATAAAGAAAAGTTTCAAATCACTTGCAAAAAAACACTCAGAAATTATCACTTCAACGCCACTAAAAACGCAATTAGAAATAAAACAAGAAAAGAGAAATATTAAGAAAAATTACTTCGTTTCCATTTGTATATTGAGTTGCGTCTTAGTCCATGGGATGTTCTAATACGGTAATTTAAAAACCACTGAGATTTTCTCTTTTGTTACTTACAATGTTTGTACTTCCCACACTGTTCAAACTAAAATGTCGCTTCAAATGGACAAAGATCTGACTCATATTTTTTAAGCTGCTAGAAACTATCTCATCGGGATTTACGAAGACAGATTTCCTTAAGAGGGCTTATAATAAAAATATTGTATATGCTAAAACCTTTAATACTTTAAATGGAAATTAAGAAGTTTGAACCAAGATGCCATCTTGTGCCACCTTGCCATCTTGTGCCATTGCACAAGATGGCAAACATTCTGGATGTATGCAATAATTGATTATTTACTTTTTTTAATAATTTGGGGTTCATTCTATATTATCTATGTGTGTGATTAAAACTTATTTACTTAATTACTTTCAGCATGAAAAAATCTGTTGCATCTGTTGTGAAAAAATTTGTTGGAATTAGATTACCCACCACTGCGGGATTTTTTACAGACCGATTAAAGATGTGGCTTCCTGAGAAATCAAAAATACTATATTAATGGATAATTTGCCATTTAGATCTGAGTTTGCATCAAAGCATTTTTTATCCCTGCCCTTATGTATATTACATTGGTGAGGTCAATAAAAAAGCCAACTATAAGTAAGAAAATTTAAGCGTGCCGTATTTAAAAATACCACATTTAAAAAAGTACCTAACCGTTTTATTTAATCAAATTTCAAAGTATACATTGCAAAACACTTACCACTGCCGAAAACGAAGAAACTGAAAGTAACCACTGCAATATACCCAACACAAAGAAGATCTAACCAGAAGCCGAATGTTCGATTGCAGCACAAAAATAGATAATACGCCGAACTGTGCAGATCCTGATGTTTGTCGAATTCAACTCTTAAGATTTCTTGAGCTCCAAAAGCCCTTACTGTAGTTAAGCCTTGTAGAGATGCGTGTATATGGGAAAAAACTGGACTTCGTGCTAAAATAAAGGTAGGAATATAAAAAATTTATCAATGGTAATTTTTCTGTTATATTCTGGATTTACTGATTTCATTTCGTACTGCCTAGTAATCAAAAAATAATTCAAAGAGTATCCAGTTTTAATTATCTTGATTGCCATATTACTGAACAACTAGATCCAGATCAAGGGATAAAATGTAGATCAAGAGATAAAAAATGAGGTCATTCTTCTGTAAATATAACTTGCAACTTCAACTTCGAAAGCGCATGGTTAAATGCTACATTTGGTCAATCCTCTTATACGGCATCGAAGCATGGACATTAAAAATATCCACCATTAATCGTCTGGAGGCCTTTGAAATGTGGCGCACAGACCTATACTAAAAATTCCATGGACGGCTATGCGGACACATGTGGCAGTCCTTGAGAGAGCAAATGCTACTCGTGAGCTGCTTGATAACATCAAATGTAGAAAGATGGCCTATTTTGGACACGTAGTAAGGGGAGACCGATATAATATTCTTCAACTTATTATGATGGGTAAAATCGATGCAGAGGAATTGGTAGAAAGCAGGCCTCTTGGTTGAAGAATATCAGGGAGTGGACAGGAATAAGGAAAACTGAGCAACTCTTTAGAATAGCTCGAAACAGAGATAATTTCGCCATGTTAATCGCCAACGACAAGGGGTCTTGATAGGGCACGTTAAGACGAAGACTGCCTAGTAAATTAAGTAATCATTCATCATTTTGCTATGTGGGTTAAATGTTAACAGACTGAAAGTGGATGCAAATTACTTTATAACCAATCACACGAAATATTTCCATTAACATAGACATAGCGAAAAACATAAAATTCACCTATGACTATTAGGTGATGATAATTATTTTTGTTGATTTTATAAAGCATTCGACACTATCAAACTTTACGGTATAGTCGAGGCTTGCACCTAATGTATAAATAATATATTAATATATGTACGTTAGATATAAATGGTCTCAAGGAGGTATTCTATCTAGAATAAGGCCTTAAGGAAGCTTAATTTCTCTTCTGGTGATTATCATCGATGATTTTTTTAAGCAGCGTCATAATTTTAAATACTTTAGATACTTTAATCTAATACTTTAATATATTACTTTAATCTTCTTGTTTAGTATTTGTCCAGGGCACTTCTGTAAGCATTTCTAGATTTCTTTTTCGTAGTTAGTTCTCCCAGTTCCCCTTCCACCAAAAATGGAAACTTTATTGACGACCTTTGCTCTCCAACTAAAACACTGGTAGCCGTTCGCAAACGTTTCAATTTTTTTGCTAACCCTTATCTTAAAGCCCAGTAATTATTCAGTCTCCCTTTTTAGCCCCCTATGAGCACATAACATTGTTACAACGTACATCGAAAATTTGAGAGAAAAATTGCAAAAAGTCTACGAATTTGCTCGTAAAAATTTGATGCCTAACGGCCGGTTTCACCAACAACAAATAAATCACTGAATAGTTAATCGTCAAATAAAATTTATTAGTGGAATAAATTTTATTCCGTTTCAATAACTATTTGTAATCCACAGTTAGTTATTCGTCGAATAAGTTCAAAGTGTAATGATTTTCCACAGACTGTACTCGTTGACACCTCTCTTGGCCTCCACCTCTTAGGTGTTTTGCCAGGCACATCCACTATTTTTCACTTTAATCATATACATAACCTATAATATTTAATATTGATTGATTAATTTGTCAAAATAATAATAATTGTCAATGCCAATGGTCAATACATATTTGAAACGATCATGTTGCATAAAAACGAAGAGCAATTAACAATTGATTTTACACATCTATGGGTCTATTTTTGTTGCTTACAGGATGTAATTGATGCAATGATCTACTGAATTTTTTGATAATCTAAACCTAGTTTTAAAGTCCACATCATCAAATTCAGCAAAAGGGTTTCTTCTTTGCAGCTGCCAGCAGCGTGGTTTTCTCCTTCGTCGCTCATTTCCGTCATCAGAGGATGATGATGATGAAGATAATATTCGAAAATAAATATATATGTATACAAAAATAAATTGTCTGATATAATTACGTTTACCTGCAATACATTGTTGATAATTTCAAGTTAAAATAATGAATTTTCGTTATTATTGATATTTAAAGTGAGGTTATCTGTCAACTTATTCGTAGAATAAATATTTATTTGGCCGATATTGGACTAATAACTTATTTGGAGTTTATTCATAGAATAAGTCTTATTTGATGTTGGTGAAACGCATATATGTCAGTTTTATTGGTCGAATAACTTTATTCATTGAATAGACTGCTATTTGTCGTTGGTGAAACCGGCCCTAAAACTAATAAAGCCCAGGCCAAAATCGATAGGTATGCGTCCTACTGGTACAACTCTCGAAAGAGGTGACCCAATATGGTTGAAAAATTCCACACATAAGAGAGGACTTTGTCCGAAACTTTAACGCAACTGGGAAGGCCTGTACACCGTCCTGCAGAAAACACACAATCTGATCTACTGCAGTTTTCAGCTAAAAGTAAACCAAAGGTAGTTCATATCAAGAGAATAGCTCCATACCATCGAACTGATCCACCCTGTTGGCTTCAATCGGTCGCTGATATATTAAAGAAGTCTAGAATGATTGAGATGCCATGTAAAAATACCAAAATATCTATTATAGTACCTAATGTCTGAAATGGCAGAAAATGTATATAAGCACAAGATGTTAACAGTTTAGATAACAGTAGTGTTTTAAATTTTATAGTTGTCATTTTTATAAAGTATTCTGTACTACTTGTCACTCCGTTCTGTCTTATTATTTTATATTCTATATTACTCACAACAAAAATTTAATAATAACTTACTGGCTGCTTCCATACGTTTCAAATTTCTACTTGAAGAAACGTAAACAACTTTGAAGAAATAGAACAGACAACCTATTGCTACAGTAGATATTAGAATCCAAGGATTGACAGTTGCAATTACAATGTTTACAGCCAGAACGTTTAAAGCAATCTGAAAAATAAAATGAAAAACTAAAATTTTAAAGAAATGAATCAGAACAAACTTATTTTTATAATAATTATTTATGTTAATGGTATTCATCACTAATAGAAAATAAATTTGCAAAGTGTATATACGAAAATTAAATATTATTTATAATTTCCACTCACTTATTTGTGACCTTAACGTATTTTGCGAAACAGTAGGTTTAGCTTAATTTTAAGACTGCATTAATGAAATTTTTTATTTCATTAGTAATATTTATGCAAAATGGTCATCAACTTTCGACAAAAGAGTCCTTACGTACCAGTAAATCTGTGGAGGCCATTTGCCTAATATGATATTCCATACCTAACTTTATCTTATGTACTTTATGATTCTATAAAAAATTACAATTTAAAGAAAAAGCAGTGTTTTCTATTAAATTCAACTCTTGCGTAAAGTTCCTTTCTTGCTGTTTGGTCTCGTGGAGACCAAAAGATCTTCTTATGGTGCCTATCCGTTACGAATGTTGGACACTAACATGGCTATTCTGACTTTGTTGACTGCTGCCCTGAAAAGTTTGGTAGTGGTTAAGTTAAACCATTTTCGTAGGTTATGCAGCCAGGATATTATTCTACGTCCTGGACCTCTTTTCCCATGCACTTTATCTTGAAGTATGATCCGAAGTAGGTCATATCGTTGTTTATTGCGCATTATATGGTCCAGGTATTCCAGTTTGCGACGTTTTATCGTTATGACTAGTTCGTGCTCTTTACCCATTTTATGTAGTTGGTAACTCTGTATATCCAGGACATCCTCAACATGCGTCAATATCACCACATTCTAAATGCTTCGAGTCTATTCAGTGATGCTTCAGTTAAGGTTTATGATTTCACGTCATATAAAAGAAGGGAGAATACGTAGCAATTTAGTAAACGAACTTTTTATTCCAATTTTATATCGTGGCTGTTAATTTTTTTTTTCATTTTGACGAAAGCTAATCTTGCCTTCTCAATACTTATCTTAATTTAAGTCGATTGGTCCCACTGTTCATTTAAGTTTGCACCCAGATAACACAAGTTGGTGATTTGTGTTATAGGTTGTAGGTTAACTAGTAATTGACCAGGTGGTATCCTATTTGTGCTTATAGGCATATATTTGGTTTTTTTATGTTAAAATCAAGCACAAATCTGCTACTTACGCACCCTGGAGACAAGTGTCTGCAGACCTTCAAGACTATCTGCAAAAATTACAGTATCATTAGCGTATCTTATGTTGTTCAATCGTTCTCCGTTTATAAGTATTCAGAATGTGCTCTGAATATGTATGTATATATATATATATATATATATATATATATATATATATATATATATATATATATATATATATATATACATCGGTTTAGAAGGTCTTTCAACGTTGTCCGATACCTAAACACCATCTCTTCCTATCTTCGCAGTCGTTTGTTGTTAAATTTCTTTCGCTCATGGACTTGTTTACGCCGTGTTGCCATTCTAATCTGGGTCTTCCTCTTTTCCGTCGAACTATCGGTTGCCATTCTACTACTTTTTTGGGGAGTCTTGTTGCTGGCATCCGTTGAACATGCCTATACCACCTTAATTGTTTCTTCTCTATATCTTGAGTTATATTTCCTTCTATTCCCATACGTTGTTTTATTACATCATTTCTGATTCGGTCTCGTCTGGAAATACCTAAAGATCTTCTCATTGCATCCATCTCTACTGCTTCTATTGGCTTTTTGTTCTTTTCACTAATTCTCCATGTTTCAGCGCTATAAAAAAAGTAGTTTTAATCATGGTCTCATATATATATTAAATTTTCTTCCTTTCGTTGTCTCTTTACTCCACAGTATACCATTGAGACATCCTAAGACTTTCTTTGCTTGAGTGATTCGTTTTTCTATCTCCCGTGTATCAGTTCCTGTATTGTCAAAGGCACCACCTAAGTAGTCACAGCTCTGACAGCAGGAAATATGTTGTCCGTTTTCGAGGTCTATGTTATCTGACTCGTTTCCAATACAAAGATATTTGGTTTTTGTTGTATTGACATTCATTCCCCAGTCGTTATATTTTTCTACCAGTTTTCTAAGCATGTACTGCATATCTTCCCTGTCGGTCGCTAGTACTACCTGGTCATCAGCAAACTGGAGTGTATATATACATTCATTGCTAAGTTCTATACCCATCCTATGCACCTTTCTTTTCCATCTTTCCAATGCTGCTGCAACATATATCCTAAATAAGGTTGGTGAGATACAGCATCCCTGTAGCTTTCTTTATCCATAATTTTTAAAAATTCTGAGTCAAACTCATCTTAACTCCTTAATGTTGTTTATAGCAGCTTATACTTCCGCTTCGAGAATAGGTGGTCCGGTACCGTCATTTTTTATTTGTGTGATGGTGACATTCCTATCGTCTTTAAATGTTGTTTTCAGATAGTTCATCTGTTAAGTGTCTTACCCTTTTTAATTTTTAGATGCCTGCTGCTTCTTTGATCTTTTTGTGGAGGTTAAAGGAATCGTGTTTACGTTTCAATATCTCGATTTCTTCACACTGTTCTTCCAGATTTCAATTTTTAGCTTCTCTAGCAGCTTTTTATCTCTTTGTCTAGAGACTGATATGCAATGTAGTCTTTCGGCTTGGATTATCTTCTTCCATCTATCATCTGTAATATACCGTCGCGTCGGTCATCCATGGTTTTTTCTTTTCTGTTTTTTTCGGTTGCAGGTATTGGTCTAATATTTCCCTCCCAATATTTTCTAAGTAGTTTATTTCTGTGATTTCTTCACATATTCCCGTACTTCTTGCTTTATGTCATCATCTCTTAGTTGTTTGAGATCGTATCTTATAGTATTAGGTTTGTGGATTTTTTTAAATTTCAGACGAAACTTAGCGACAAGTGCGTTATGGTCTGACTTAATATCTGCACCAGGGTAGGTTTTCACTGATGTTATTGAGTTTTTGAATCTTTTGTTTATTAAAATATAGTCAATCTGGTTTCTTATGAGATTTTCTGACATGTCACCTGGTGAGCGCCATGTGTACAATATTTTGTATGGTAATTTAAAGAGTGTATTGGTGATTACCAACTCTGCTTCCGTAGCAAATGTAAGCAGGCGTTCTCCTTTCTCATTTCGCTCGCCCAGATCCCATAAACCTACTACTTCACCATAACTACCCTTATCGATTGTGGCATTAAGTCAACCATAACTAGCGTTACTTTATTGGTTTTTAACTTACTTAGGACTTTCCTTAAATCGAAATAAAAAGTCACTATTACTTCGTCTGATTTGTCTGCTGTGGGTGAGTATATTTGGGTTATGTTGCTTTTTGCTGGGATCAGAAGATAACATGCTTATACCCATTAGATATATCTCATAAAGTTTTTAACAGATATTTCCAAATATATCAAGTAATTTACTGCGGTCTACATTTACTATAATTTCAAGTTACAAAATAAATTCCAAAAAATTGTTGTATAGTTACGATGAAATACCTACAAGAAAGTGTGTTTATTGTTGATACCGACTCAATAAATGTGCACTCTGGCATAAGATTGTATTCAATCTACGCTATCACGATTGTTATAATCAAAGAACTATTTTACCTACAGTTTTAAGGTGAATCTTTCCTGTATCAGGTACTTTTACGTATGGTAATTGTACATAACTGGTAATGAGAAAGCTAATTCTCAAATTCTAGATGTAACAAGCAACGAAAATATTATTTTTTTTAACCAGCTACAGTAAAATGATAACAAACTAAATGCTAAAGGTCGCGGCATATTATCATGCACGTATAGTTTCCGGCACGTAGCGTTTCAAGTCCAGTAATCGGACTGCACGTTCAGGTTTTCAGACATAGAACGTTTCAGTTTTTTTCAGTGAAGGTATGATCTCACCTTTCGCGACACAAATTATATGCAATTGCTCTACTTAACGATGAAGAAAGAAAAATTGTAGTAAAAAGAAGGTTTCAAGTACATCCAATGCTAAGAGAAAGGAAAAAGGGATGTGAATACTCGACTTTATACAAAGAATTAATTGATGACGATGAAAAATATTATGGATATTTTAGACCGAATAGGATTCAGTTTAAGTATATTTTAAATTTAATTACACCTTTAGTTAAAAAACAAAATACTACATTTAACGAAGCCATACACATCAAACCAAAGAGTATTTTAAAAAAAGAAGTATCACTTCCGTGCAGAAGTCCTAAGTGTTAATAATTAATTAAATAATTAATATTGTTTTCTAATATACTGAACGAAACGTGAATTGTTCATATTTAAAACCATTTAACTTATATTTTCCTAAAACTAAACGCTACAGGCTGGAAACGCAACGTGCATGATAATATGCCACGACCTTAAAGGTCAGAAATATTTTATTAATTTCACAAAAACTCAACAAGGTTTTTAAAAAAACGTAGGAACCAAAATCGATATAGTATATCAAATCCGACACTAGTATACTGAGACATAATTAGATATTTAAAAACAGACTTATTAGTTTTTCTACGTTTAAATAATGTAACTACCCATTTTTTAATTCAATCAACGATTTTTGGTTTTACAAACTCACTTTAAAGATGAAATGACATTGTCTTTTTGACAATACTGTACCTTATCTTTCGCTAGTTTTAATTCGCTAACAAAGAGAGACAGAGAAGGTATTGTAGCTGTAGATAATAGATTATAACCATAGATAAATAATATAATAGTAGAAATAGATAGGCAACTCAATGTATAAATTTCGTTCATTAGGACCCCTTGCGGCTGGGGTCAATACTAATCATTTTTAGGCGGCAAATTCGAATGGACACTCCTCACATACATACCCTTTAGCGTCTCCTGCGGGCTATTTAGTTACTAATTAAAATTTACTGGAAAATAAGGATATATAAAAGATGCACAATTTTTTCTATATATACGTATATTTATTTGTTGTTTAATATAAAACAATTACTATTTAACTGGAAATAAGCCACAATTAATGATAAAAATACGTTTATTGACGTTTCAGTTTTTACTTCGGAAATCGTTCTCAAAATTATTATTATTATTTAACTGGCTTATTCTCAGTTAAATAGTAATTAATTTAAAATGCCACAAGAAAATAACTTCAGAACAAAAAAATTTATTATATAAAATATATTTATAATATAAAACAGTTATAAACTAATTAGATATTTATTACACATATTTTCAGAAACAAATGTTAAATACTATTATTGTTTGCTTCATGACAACTTACTATCATTATCTTTTTTATAATTTTTCCATGATTTGTACACAACGGAACAATACAATACTTCACCATGTTTACTTTTTTTACTAGCACAACACAGAAATTCTTTAATACAATAGGTAACTCAAACTAAACTGTAAAAACTAAGTAACCAACTTAAATTAAAATTACTACGAATAAATGCAAACGAAAGTTAAAGATAATAAAATAAAATTGAAAACTTGTAAACAAACGGAAGATCTGTCATTACTTTTGACAGAATTGACATTGCGGAATTAAGCTTCGTTTGATCACAGAATACACCATTCCAATGGAGGGATGGAGTATTTTGTGGTTTGATTATTTTATTAACACTCCGAGACTTTGTTAAAATAAATGATTGGTTAAAGTCTTCGTGAGAGATATAGACTGTCATTTCTCTTTATTAACTCGCTGGATTTAAAGCGATGGGGGAATGAACCAAGGTCATTCATATAAGTTTCCAGGGCATGATTATAACAAAAAGGGCAACAATTGTGACAACCTCCTATTATATACTAAAGTTTGCCTGCTGTAGCTTAAATACATATAATCCTACCTGAATTGTGTCCACTAAAACGTTGGGCAATGTTTCATCTATACATCCAATATCTTTCGAAAATCTGTTTAGTATTCTTCCAGAAGGATTTGTGTTGAAGAAGAGCATAGTACCATTACAAATCTTCGCGAGCATAGTATTATGCAGTTTTACAGATGCGTTCATACACATTTTATAAAAACTGACAGACCTAGAATGAGACATAATGAAAATAAAAGAGTTGTGAAATAAATTTTAAGACAATACTGAATATATAAAAGTATAATCTATTAGAATTATACCATTTTGTACAATCGTCCACAAAAATATTTAAAATTTACCTCATAACTGTTACAACTATCACAGATACGATAATACAGCTGTATATGATAATGCATCTATCACTATTGAAAAAACCAGGCTGTAAAGGTGTTAGATGTCTTAAAGAATATTTCCAAAGAGAATTGTAGTTTTCTTCCATATAAACGTCATCAGAATATCCTATAAGTAAAGTTTTATTTCCTTCTTCTTCTTGAAAGGTTTCTTGTTCTAAATTTACCCTAAAATGATCAAAAGACGTTACAAACCATAACAATTATAAATACATGCTATGCGTTTATAAACAAATCAAAAACTATTTTTTTAAAATCTTATTATATAGTTCGTCTTTTACTCTGGACAATAACTATTTTAACTATACAATTCTTCTGTAAGAAATAATATTGTTTTCTAAAACAAGTACGCCACAAAAGATAGTTTTCGTACCAAGGCCAACTTGCCATAAATAAATTGATATAAGCTTCAATAGAAATATCTCTATAAAGACTCTTTAAAAAAAGCTGCTATAAACAAAGGGACTCGATGTGATTATGAGTTCCATAATCCAAATATTTAGAGCGTCATTCTCTGGACTCTATTATATCCAAAGCTTGGAGAAAAGCAAGGGTAAAGTTTATACCAAAACCTGGAAAAACATATTTCTTAGCAAAACTATTCAGATTAAATATGTTAAAAAGAGTGTTAAAAATTTTTAATTTTTAATTCATCAGTCATCAGCATATCGCATCACAACACATGTGACGGTCAGATTTCTCCTGCTACTACTGCGCTCCAAATACGTAGGTGTAACACCTTCGTATATAGCGTAAGTATGACACAGGAATAAAGAGATACCTAAGCGATGTCTCAGAGGGCTGATAAACTTTACAGGAGTGTACCGTTAGGATTTCTTATATATATATATATATATATATATATATATATATATATATATATATATATATATATATATATATATACATATATATATATATATATATATATATATATACATATATATATATATATATATATATATATATATATATTGTTATGCTATTTAAATTGTATTCTATTGCTTATTTAGAAAAGATCCTGTCTATATTTATTAAATGATCTAATCTCCAATTAATCACAATAAATCAGCATTAATTAATTACAATCTCAGGCTATTTAACTTGTACTATTTACCTTTGATCGTGGATTCAAAATATTTTCCAATTGGCTTCCTAATTGGGATAGGTAATATGACCTGAATAAAATACACAGAATTTCAACTGAAGTATATGTGAGATGTCCTTTATTTTATAGAAATTTTATATAACAATCAATCCGGTAATATTTGCAATACAATACTTTAAATATATGAGAAGTTGTTTTCTATCATGGACCCAAATGTTATTTTACATTGATTTTTAATATGTGTTATAACTAAGCTCTCTTTATAATTTTTTTTTTAAATGATCGCAAAATTAACTGTCTCTATTATTTATTCAATTTATTTAATTTATAAATGAAAACCACACTCCTGCTCTAATGAAAATTGACTGACCTTTCGTTATCTGCCGTTGCAATTCTATGGCCACGCCATAAAAAAAAACCTTTCTCTGCTTCTGCTCCTATTTTGGTCCAGAAGACGTACACCTTTCTCCTATCTGTCCTTGTATCTGCAACCCAACAACTCGTGTAATTCTATGCAGCCTCCTTTTGAACCAATCTCCGCGCCTGTTTATAACTTCAAATGTTTCCGGCTTCGTCTGATATTAATATTCTTATAACCTTTTGGTTTTTCTATCTCTCTGTACCCCGTTCCTCACACTGATCAGCTTTTGCACAGCAAATAAACACACCCGGTAAATTACGTCTTCGGGACTTCAAACAAACACAAACCACAAAGCTCCTTCCTTCTTGGGCGACGAAAACTGACTGACCTTTCCTCTCTCCTATCTCATAGCCAAAACCACTCCCTCCTTGCATTCAAAAATTGACCAATAAAAATCTTCTACCTCTGTGACGTATATCGTTATCAACCAACTCTCTCTATTAAAACGTCATTCGGGTAATTCCAGAAAACAACATTCTTTAATTATTCTAACTAAATCTATCTGCTTTACAAATATTTCTTACTAATAGCTACAAACGATACCTGTTTCTCAATTCAATGTCTTTTGTTAATAAACTTTTACCGATATAATCTTTCGGGGGAAAAACCACCGCACATCCCGGTCTATTGTTTAAACACTTTCTATATACACTTTTATTACGGGTAAATCCATTTCACAATAACCGACTTATTTAAATTTCTTATCGATAATATTTGAAAGTCTTGTCTCTGAGGCCTAATGAACAATTCTTTGAACAACTTAAAATACATATTTTGTCTTATACAGGATGTTTGAAAATTTATATGCCCGTGTCATTATGAAATATCAATAATTTTAATTTTTATTTAAGTAATAAAATTTGTATATCGGTTTTTTATTGCTAACAGACATTCAAAAGTACAACAAATCCCCGCCTTTGTAATCGATAAAATTTATCAATCTATGCAACTAAATTTTCTCGAGGCAAACTAAAACGCACTTCCTGTATGCTAGCTGTACTTATGCTACGTATTATCCTATCCTACTATCTACTTTATACAAATTTAAATCTTCATTCGTGATATTTATATACATCATGGATATTATAAATACCTCTGATCTTTTCAGAATCCATATGTTTCAACTCATAGCTGTTTACTCCATCTTCGTTGTTTACTATGTATGGCCCTTCGAAAACAGGCATCAATTTTGCGCAAATACCGCTCTGAAGATTTGACACTCTTAATGCTCTTACCATTACTTTGTCACCCTTTTGGAAAGTTACTGGTCTTCGTTTCCTATTATGACCCTGTCTCTGGATGTATTTCTCATTGCTTCTTCTTAATCTCCTCTGAACCGTTTCTATAACCTGTCGATACTCTCTTTGTTCTGGATCTTCCCACGGTCTTATCGGCATGACGCCTTTCATGATGTATTCTGGTGTTTCTTTCGTTACTGTACTTGGCATGGAATTTAGGTACATCTCTATTTCTCCCAATTTTCTGTCCCATCGCCGATGTTGACCATCCGTTGCAATGCGAAGAAATTTCGTTACCTCTTGTATAAATCGCTCAGAAGGATTACTTTGGGGATGCCTGATGCTTACAAAGTTCGTCTCGATTCCCCGTTCTCTAAGCTGTCCCTTGAAACGATCATTTCGGAAGTACGTTGCATTGTCTAGTAAAATTTTTCTTGGGGTTCCTACCGTAGCGATGAAATTGTCTATTTTTCTCAATATTTCTTCCCCTTTTGTGGTGCGGCAACTATATAATTTCACGTATTTTGAGAACACATCCACCATCACCAGAATATGCTTGTTCCTTTGGGTGGTCACAATTAGATCGCTTAACATGTCGATGGCTATAATGTCCAGGTTGTTCCGGGATACAATGCTCTTTGCAATATTTTCGTTTTTAAAATTCCTGCTCTTGTATTTCTGGCATACTTCGCATTTCTGTGTGATCTCTTTTGCAATGCGGTAATCTTGTCGACTGATGTAGTTTTCCCTAAACACAAGCCATACCTTTCTACTGCCAATATGTCCATTTTCCTCGTGTAGCTTCTTTATGATTTTTTCTGCCAATGTCGGTGTCACTAAATATAATTCCTTTCCGTCTATTCTCTTAAAAAATATCTCGTTTTCTAGCTCCGCTCTTCTCTTTTCTCTTTCTTCTAGGCCTTCCTGGTCGGTCCTTATCTCATTTAATGAAAATATTCCTTCGGCTTGTGTCAATATATTCAATCCCACATGTAATGTAATTGTCTCTTTTTTTCCTGTATCTTCGTCCCGTGTTAAAACGTCAGCTATTATGTTGTCTTTCCCTTTGATGTATCGGAATTCGAAATCATACTCTTGTAAGAGCAGAATGCCTCTGTGTATTCTGTTATTTACCAATCGATTCTTCATGATGTGTATCAATGCTGCATGATCCGTTTCGATGGTGAATTTAGCTCCCAATAAGTAAAACCTTAATTTGTTTACGCAAAATAGTACACTGGCGAATTCCAACTCGGTGACACTGTATTTTCTCTCATGTGTTTTAGTCACTCGAGATATAAAACATATCGGAGCCTCTTGGCCGTTTTGTATTTGCGACAACACTCCTGCAAATTTCTGTATCGACGCATCCGTACGGAGTATAAACGGCAAATTGTAAATAGGGTGATATATTTTCGTTCCTTTAGCAAATTCTTGTTTCAATATTTTGAAAGCTTCCTCCTGTTCTTCTTTCCAATTCCATTTTGTCCCTTTCTTTAACAATTTTATTAAAGGAATTTCTTTTTGTCTTAAATCGGGAATTAATTTCTTGAAATAATTTATCGTACCGAGAAACCCTCGCAATGTTTTTAGATTTGTTGGTCTTGGGTATTCGTCGATGAGCTTTACTCTGTCCTCGGCTAGACTTACAGTTTTGGTGTCAAGTTTGAAACCCAAATAAATCACTTCCTTTTGAAAAAATTGACATTTTTCAATGTTTAGTTTTAATCCCGCTGTGTCCAATTCTTTCAAAATTATTTTGATATGTTCCACATGACTCTGCATATCTTGTGAAAAAATTAATAAATCGTCGATGTAATGGACGATGAACTCTTCATGGTGATTCTAAATGGTATGCAAAGCTCGTACAAGTGCTGCACAAGCGCTTTGTAATCCAAACGGAACTACCTTAAATCGGTATACTATACCATCAATTGAAAAGGCAGTGTAGTTTCTACACTTTTCAGCCAAAGGTATTAACCAAAAACTATGCTTTAGATCAATTTTTGAGAAAATATGTGATCCCGTGATTCTTCCAAAAATGGCCTCGATATTTAACGGTGATTCATATTGTGATACTGTGTGTTGGTTGATATTTCGGGCATCTAAACAGAGTCTTAACTCTCCACTGCTCTTCTTCACTATCACAATTGGGTTAATATAGGGTGAGTCACATCTCTCAATGATTTGATCTTCCAACATTTTTTTGATTTCTTGCTTTACTTCTTGCCGATACTTATAAGGAATTGGATAAGTCTTCGATCGAAAATTTCCCAAGTTTTTCACCTCAAATGAGTGCTCGTATTTTGTGGCCACTCGGTTTTCCTCATTTATCAGCGTTTCGTAGTCTCTTAAAATTAGACGCAAATCATTTTCTTTGCCTTCTCCACATATCAATTTT